CAAACACACGCGCAGAAAAATGTGATGAATGCAGTGACTTTGCACTTTCGACGCTGTTTGATTGGCTTGTCGACTCCTAGCGTTTGCCGCGCTCCTACGTTGTCTATCTTTTGGAATGACTTGCAAGTTCCTCAATGTCTGTTGTTCCGCCATTGTGCAGTGTTTCTGAGCTTCTAATAATCGGTACGTGACTTTCGAAAGGTGTCTTTACGAGGTTGGTCAATTATACTCGAGGGTTAAAAGAAGCCAAATAGGTTCACGAAAACTTACTTACTGGACGAGGGTGCCAAAGCCACGGGTGACTGTCGAACCCATTGACATTTCTATTGCCTGATTCTACAGGACATGGCAATGTGAAGAGCGTCAACATCGTGTCCTGCAAGAAGGCGCCATGCAAGGTGAAGATCGGTACCCGAGTCGTCTTTGAGGCATCTTTCGTTGCTCGTGAGTGGATCTTACAATTTATACAATAGATAGAATTCTCGGATAATTTGTTATCAGATTGCATTTCTGTCGTCATATCAATGACCACAGTGATCACTGTCTTCCAATGTTGGCTCTTATAAGTTCCGGTGGTTCACGGTAAGAGCCATTAGGGAGTTTTCGTACAGGAGGGCTTAGTGGAGGGGGAAACGCGGTCTACGAAAACTCCCTATTGTTCCCGATTTTCTAGTGGGCGCTACTATTTGCAAAGATGATTTTAATTCAGAACCAAGACCGATTTGCTTAAAAGGGAGTGGAAGAATCAGGCTAGGTGGTGGAAGAATCTCTAGGCTACGTGGCGCAAGCTACCGCCGGTTATAGAGGGTATGTGTGTGTGGTGTGAGTGGCGTGTGTGCACACACAGGCAGGCACACAGACCGTCTTGGTGACATCGTTTTTCATGCTCATGCGTCATGAATTTCGGGCTAGAATAAACTGCCATTTTACTAATCGCATATCGTTTAGTGCGCCAAAATATAACTAGTGCACGAGCGTAGAAAGTCTGAAGCCTGCTTTTCGGTACGAAAATTTGAAAACATGGCGGACATATCGCAGCTCCTTTCCTTCGAAAGCTCTTAACCTTTTCACCGTGGTGCATACGGGGTGCCCAAGCACATCAGCCGAACCCAGCTATCGCATTGGACACGAGCACTATGTGACTCGGACGTACCAATTCGTTGACGACGTTGGAAGCTTGGAGTCATCGCCTCCGGTGCTCAAGAACGTCACGACCCCATGATTTCTCATCATCGCTTTTGAGTTGAGAGTTCAAGCTAAGGAGTAAGAAGTTGCAAAATCATTTCAGGGTCCCTTTAACGGGTATTGCGTACAACTCTTGTGCACAGCTTTCGACGTAACCTCGGCATTCAACGACATCGGCGCCTACATCGAGCGTCACCGATTCCGTCTGCCAGAGCCTCGAGTCGACGCTTGCAACGGTTACCTGAGCCCCCGGTGTCCGATGCGCAAAGGCCAGACCTACACCTACCGGTACACCATGCCTGTCCGGGAAATCTACCCCGCCGTAAGTGCCCGGAATTCATATACTTTTATAACTTAAAAAAAAAAGAGAAGAAGACGCCGAGTCATTGTTGGATGGGTTTAATTTATTAAATCGTGTTCCAGACGCCAGCGACGATTGAATACAAGCTTACAAACGAGGAAGGCCGACTGATTGGATGCACCAGTATCCCTGTGCAGATCTTTCGATGAAGAACGCTGGACGCATCGTTTAGCCTTTTACTGATTATACAAACAAGGATCCTCTAGCTAATAAAAACAAAACAAAGATAAAACGATGATATTGTGTGATTTTCTTACGGTGATACGATTCAAGACGCAGAATGCCTCCTACATGACGCCAAGGCGCTGATAGCAGACGACAACGTTGGTTTCGATTTCGAGTCTAACCGAAAGTGACGTCGGGTGTGTGACGTCATTCAAAGACGTCACCGCTTTAAACAACGTTAGGGCCGTTTTTATAGACGGGACAATAAAACTAAATGTCGCCAAAAAAAAAAAACAAAAAAAAAAACGTGGAATTTAAACATCTAAAAATAATAAATAGAGGAAGCCTGGATTTCACATTTACCACGACAGTAGTTTGCCGAGATTCGGCTGTTCTGAAACGTTTGTGACGGCAACTTCCGGTCTTCGAGACGTCTCGAGATGTCTGGCAGACGACGGACGCATGACGAACGCACACGGAGTTACTGAAATGCGCCGCCTGCAACTGTTTGAATCGTTTGCACAATTATACGATTTTCATTTTGTATTATTATTATTTTTTTTTAATATGGGAGGCATAAGTAAACTAATCAGGTTTATAAAAACGAATTGTATTTGAGTGTGGTACGGGATGCTGTCTGACGAAAATCATCACACGGAGGGAGGTTTGCTAAAGATACAGCGAGAAAATTATCTGTTTAGAACATAATATCGAAGCGGCGTCGGGCCCTCTTTGTAATTTTAAAGTTTACGTGCATTGTTTACGTGCCCCAAACCTCGTTTTTAAGGCTCGCAATATAAGTATGTTTCGTACCTGCCTTGTAACCATGAAACTGAGAAAAAGTCCTACTGATTCTTCTGTTTTAAAGACCCAAGTCATAACTGAGAAGGAACGCTCCTCCGTGCCTCTAGAGGATTCGAGCTTACTCTTTCCTCGTGTGTAAGAGATAAGGAGGCCAGAATGGCCCTGCCTAGTCAATATCGACCTAGCTCACTAAGGAACATTCTAGGTCGACAGCTCGAGATGAAGGAACCGAGCGCGGCATTGTCGACTCGCCAGTCATTTGTTACACAGACGCATCGTCTCTCGCTGCTGCCGCCGTCGACACTCATACTTTCTTTTGTTTCTAGGCACAAGTTAGCCGATCATTTTTTTTTTCTATATTTTACGCTTGTTGTTCTGTTTCTGTCTGCGACAATATATACAGGGTGTCACAAAAAATTTACAGGGCTTTTTCACCTCAAAAATAAACTAGTCATCGCCGAACGCTCATTCTCCGCCCAAAGGTAGCGCTAGGGGTCACAACCAGATGCCAAAGTAATTCAGCCCGATCCGATACCTTATTCAAAAGTTATAAGTGATTTTCTGAAATTTTCATGGGAAAATGGAGCCCATTTTTGCCCGTTTTCGGTTTTTGGTGCCATAGAGCCCCATGTACTCGAAAACACCGCCGACCGCCATTTTCCCCTTTGAAAATTTCAGAAAATCAGTTATAACTTTTGAATAAGGTATAGGATCGGGCTGAAACTTTGGCATCTGGTTGTGACCTCTAGCGCTACCCTTGGGCGGAGACGATGGGCGATGCCTATTCCATTTTTGCGCTAAAAAAAAAAAAAAAAGCCTGTTTATATGTTACTGTCAGTTCGTTTGATTACGCAGATGATCACTGGAGTAAGTTTGCTATCAGAAATTCTTGAAACGTGTGCTGGCCTGTACTTCGATTTCGATACACTTCACGTCTTCGTCGTCGGACGTGATTCGGCTTCACACCGTGTTCACCTTCTCAAATATTGCGGAAGTGAGCTCCACGAGAAGGCGTTTGCTCACTTCAGCACTTGAGCACCTCGAGTGTCGATCAGAGCTGTGCACGGGCACAGTACGCCCCCGAAATCCCACAGAAAGTGTATCCAGAGAAAAAAAAAAGTTTCGTCGAGCGTAACCGAACTTATTCAACGCGGTCGTCTAATCCCTCAGGAAGAGCCAATGAATCCGCGAAGCCATTGCGTCGTCTACTAACAAGGCAAACCTTCCTTTTGGGCTGTGTATTGAGATCAATATTACTTACTCATTTCAGTTAAACATAAAACTTGATTGTTATAAGTTTAGTTCAGGTGCCCCAAACGAATATCTTCCACGCATCGTGATTTGCACCACTTGCGTTTTGCGGAAATTGCATTCACACGGTGTAGCGGTAGAGCGCATGGGGATTTCTCAACAGTGATATGTAACTTACGTTCGCTTTGACGCGAATATGATTGCAAACTCGCAGAGAGAACTTCGGAACTGCTATCGGCAATTTCTTGGGGAGGAAGATGTGGTGGGGTTGTTGACTGATCATATACATATAATCTTCGATGCCTTCACTGCTTTACAAACGTTATCCTCATTACACACACTCTAAAAAAAAAACAAAAAAACAAAAAAACAAAAAAAAAAACTTTTGCATTATTTATTGTGTTTGAACATTTTCGACGTCAGAATACGTAGTTATCTCCAACGCCGAGGATGCGGAAAAGCTCCTGTACGCTCGTCAAGAACGCTCGCACTCTGATGATAACAACAAGTATACCTTCTTGGGAAAAGTGCGCAGTCTAGATGTGCTGCAATCAATTCCTGCGTTGAAAACAGCAAATTGCAATAAACCCAGATAAATGGCTGCACCTCATTCTTTGGTATTTCGAACATCTGCCACAAAGCCAGCGGGGCAAACGAGGTTTGACGCCTTTGACGTCTGTCGGCGCAGAAAGCAGACGACGAACAGATCACGTGACGTATTTACTCGATTTGATCTGACGCTACCCCCTGCTACCCCCCGATTGAGGAGGGTACCCGCTTCTGGAACGCGAGTTCTGACGTCATCGAGTAGGCGCGAGTAAGTTTTGAAACCCCGTGGTACGAAACCTTTACTGCGGAGTCGCATTGGGTAAATTTTAGAACACAACCCTTGTGGCTGCACAAGCCGCAAGGGTTGTGCCTTGTGGCTGCACAACGAGGTAGAGAGCCTTGGTGCTGCACAACTCTAAGCTGCACACTAACGCTATGTGCTGCACCAAGCCGCAACAACTAAAGTCACAGAATATTATTTTTGTCTTCATTTCTACATCACACGACTCAAAATTATAAAATAACTGTCTTCAATTTACTTGCATTATGAAACACAAAGTATCCTTCGTAAACTGAAAAGCTCGCCAAAGCCTCCGAAACAGAAACCGAAAGATCGAAACCGAAAATTTCGAGCACTAACGCCGACAACACTGGGTTCACGCAAAAATTTCACGCGATCGATTCGATCGAAGGGCCACAAGATGGCGACACTCTCTTCCTGAACAAACAACGCCGCGGTCAACGTCAAAACAACTCGAGGCTGCGGGCGCTACAAGACAAAGCCACAAAGTCAGCAGAATGCTTTCGACTGAGGAGAAAACTCAGCCGCATCTCGAGCACATCATGGACAGGGGCTTCACGAGGCAGCAGCAGCAAGTGGCCGAGCTGTGCACGATACACCCAGCGGCGGGCGGTAAGATGCGGGCCAAGCGCGCCGCCGGAGAGCCGAGCGAATTCTGCGCGGACGGCACCGGTGGCGTCCTGATGGCCAAGCGCAAGTACAGCGCCCACCTGAAGTTCGCGGACATCGACGCGGCAATGCTTCAGTGGGTGCTCGAGATGACGTCACAGAAGGTCCCCCTCTCCGATAGCGCCATACAGGCGAAAGCCAAACAACTTGCACAGGTGTTGGGCACCACCGATTTCAAGGCGTCCAACGGCTGGCTGTACAAGTTTAAGGAGAGGCACGGATTCGCGCTGAAAAACGTCTCAAAGGAAGAGCCCCGCACCACGCTGGACGACTTCGGGGCCGGCACCTGCGGCCTGGGCAACTACCACCACGCGCTGCTCGACCACGACCCTGCCAGGGTGTACAGCTGCTGCGAGACCTCGATCCTCTACAAGAAGCCACCGTCCTTCAACGGCTGCGACCCGATCCCGACCACCGACAACAGCGGCGCTAGTCCGGACGACCGCCTTACGGTGCTGCTCTGCTGTAACGCCAACGGCACGCACAAGATCAAGCCTCTGGTCATCAACAGTCAGCGTGAATCCAAGGAGGTCCAGGAGAACAAGTCCAAGCTGCCTGTGACGTACACCTGGCAGCGATCTTCCTTCATGACGAGTAACATCTTCCAGCAGTGGCTCTGGGAGTTCGAGAAGCAGGTCGAACACAATGCCGTCCTCATCCTTGACACGTGCCCGGCTCACGTGAGTGTCCAGTCGGACCGCGTCAAGCTGCTCTACGTCCAGTCCAACATGCGCGAGCTGCAGCCCCTCTACGGCGGGGTGCTCAACATGTTCAAGTGCAAGTACCGTGCAGACCTGGTGGTGCACTACCTCAACTTTCCCAACCTCGGCAACCAGATCTCGTTTCTTGATGCGTTGCTGCTCCTGGGAGAGGCCTGGAACAAGATCCCGCGGGAGACCATTGTCAGCTGCTGGGTCCGGTCCCAGCTCCTCCCTGTCCGGATGTGCGCCGGCAAGTCACACAACAGCGGCGATCCGTTGGACCAGCTTTGCTCCTCGCTGATGAAGGTCCGGCCCGACATCACCCGCAAGGATGTCGAGGACTACCTTCACTGCGACGATTCCTGTTCCACGACGTACAGCTTCAGCGAGGAGGCCATAGAGTGCGCCAAGCCCGGGATCTCGGAGGCACCGCCTCAGAGTCAATACCACCACGGCGGCTGTCCGACCAACCTGCGTCCGGGAGAGATCCTCGGGATGCTGGACAAGATGGAGCACTTCTTCACACACCAGGCGCTGACGAGCACCACGGATCTCCTGGCCATCCACAGTCTGCGTAGTAAGACCATTCAGATAGCCACCAACGACTTCCAAAGTGAGTGACTCGTGGTGGTGGTGCCTGGCAACGACGGGCACCACGCCTTGCAGAGTCTCTGATTTCGGCATCCTGCAGAGCCGCGTTCGAGATTGTTTGCAGCCATCATTACTAGTTTGCGTTTTCCCTTGTACACCTGTTTGCAGGCTTCGAAGTGCCGGAGAAGCTTTATTCTTTTTGCGCACCGCATGCACCATTATTGCCAAGTGTTTCCTCTCCACTTTGCGTCTCTGGCAGTAGAGAAGTAGAGAGAGGGAAGCGCAGAAAGGGGAGAACTTCTCCCATCGATTTGAACCTGCAAGACACCTTAGTAATGCTGACGGTCGGTTTGACGGCAGCTGCAGTTGTAGTCGTGTTGTTGCTGACCATTTACACCTGAGTAGCACTGCAGTGGTGCGATCTAGGAAGTAGGTGCAAATTATGCAATGCGATTTAGATGTCGCCCGGTGGCAGATAAGCTTTTAAGTTAGACATAGGAGGAAAATCTCGTTGGTAGTCATTTATCACTTGACCATTTGCCCAAATGGCATCCAATCGTGTTAGTACTGTCTCATAGCGTTTCTGTTAAAGTTCTATGTTGCAACGAACAAGGAACCACTGCTACTAAGCAGGCATTCCAAGGACTGCCATGGCTGACGCTGGATACGAGCTTGACAGAATGCCGTATTTTCTTTCTTTTGGACCATGCCAAATGAGTATTATTTTACACCTGTTTATAGTCCTTTTAAGTTCCTACTGTATACACCGTTTTTAAATGCCAGTCGAGTAACACTGCCTGTGCAGTTTTTGAGAACTTTTTTGTGTAGCACTCTTCGTGTTTTTATAGTCTCGCTTTTTTTTTGTAGAAGTTCCTTGTTGTGCAGCTCATGCTTTGCACTGATGTGGCATTATCTTTTTAATCTGTTCTTGTTTTTCTTGTAGCCTACTCCATGTTTATCCCAGAAAAGGCATTGCATACGTTTTGTGAAAGGGCAGTTTTAAAGGTTTTATGACCGGTCACATGTAGATATGTCTACAAGTTATCATATAATGATATTTCATCTTTACATTTTCCTGTGGCATTGAGTGATCAATTGTATATAACTTTCCAGTTTTCTGGAGCCAGGTTCTTTATCAATGAATGTTTATGCTAATTTAAATCCTCAGTTTTTGGCCAGTATTTTTCAGTCTGGGCATTATAAGTCCTTTTTAATGGCGAGCTGTTTTATACCTGGGAACTATGCACAAGTAAAACAGTTTGGCCTGCCACCGATGCATTAAAACATTTTGCAGTGCATTAAAGGTACATAAGCTTACAAAGATTGTAGCAAAGTAGTGTACAGCATTTAGTACAAGATAAAATAAACGCTATGCAGTTTTGTGCGCCATGCTTAGCAGGAGCATTGTTAAATGGCACACCTCTGAAGTTGAAAAACAACATCGAATGATATGCAGCAGTCCTGTTGAAATCGAGATTTTTGTAGATTTTGAAGCACCACACAAAACCATCAGTGTGTCTTTTGCCAGTAGTGCATTGATAACTTACATATCCTATCCAACCGGATGGTTTTTCTATGTCAAAGGTACACATATCAAGACTTCCATTAAAGTAACATGTAATTTGTTAAGCAGGGATGTTTTGGTGATTTTGCCATTTGCAAGGGAACAGGTATTCTTGGAGTTCAGACCACTTCAAGTTTCTCACTTGCTACCAGTTGCCAACATTTTTTTTTTTGCATTATTTTTATATTTGTGCATACATGATGTAATTTGCAAGTAAATCAATTTAAAATCTTGTAAGTACAAAGTTAGCTGCATACCTACTTGTTTATGTTAGGATAGGTGCACCTGTAATCAAACTTAAAACCAGAGTACAGGGGTACTTTTCAGTGCCAACAAGAGTAAGTTTTGATGTTATCCGGGGCACGCTTATGCATAAGTGAAGTGGTGTAGTATGCATAAAAAACACAAAAATATCAAGAAAAAAAAAAAACTTATCAAAAGGGTTGGTCTATATGTAACTTTTTCTGAAATACAACAGGAGAAGGCCAAATGGCCACATTGTTTAAGTGTCATTGGGCTCTGAGGTAGATCAAACAAGTCAATCTTGTCTCATGTTTCACATAATTCTTTGGTGGGTAAAATGTTATAGCGGAAGAATTTTCAACATGTTTTCTTGCACAACACTAAGTTGAGCAGATTTTGAAGCTGAGAAACTATATTCAACTGGTATACTTTTATTGTGTAAAGATTGTAACTGTCTTCAGCTTGAAATGAACTGTGATGTTAGTCATATGGCTCAAAAAAAGAAGAAAACACAGTTTTTAAAGTTTCTTTGCTGTTTTCATGTGAGCAAAATCAAAATTCCCGTTGGTTGCCTTTGTACCTCGTAATCCCTTGACGCCTGTTTAGTCGTGCAAATCTTCCACCGACATTTTGGAAGGTCTGCAGTGTACAAAGTAGATACATTTTAATTGCACATACAACTCTAAAAACAATTCTTTTTTTTTTTAGCCAAATGTTGATATGTGTTTATTGACTTTAAAGGGGCCCTGCAATCATATTTAAGCATCTACCTTTTTTGTGGTTTCCACGTCTCGGGGTTCGGGCAAGCCAGCGGGCACGGAGAGAGTAACTAAATATCAGTGCGTCATATTTTAACCATACGACACGGAAACCTCCACCATCTACGGGAGGTGACCTGCGGTGCCGAAAGCTCACGATATGTGACGTCTTTGGTCCTGGGCTTACTACTGGTCAGAGCCACTAAAAGCTTCTTTTAGTCGACATACAAAATATAAGTGGCACGAACCGTTTCAATTATTTATAAAAGTAGTTTTTGTTCAGTATTTTAGATCAGTGAAACAAATGCAGTTTAGAAAGTACAGAAACAAGAAATGACTTGTCGACATACCCGCCACCAAGCAGTGGAAAAGGTGGCGCATACTAAAAAGGTGTAGTGAGATCAGGCATCGACGAGCGGCGACCGTAGAAAGGTCCAGAATGTACGCGGCGGTGCTGCTTTTGTATGGACTGGAGGATCCGACTGGTTCCGAGCGTTCCGAAGTCCTTTGGCGAGCAGCTTTGGCTCGCGGTTTGGCTTTTTGGCGGTATGGCAGCGTGAAGTGGTTCCCGTTCTGAACTTATCTTTACCCCGTGTTTTCTGTCGTTTGTGGCCAATGAAGTGTCATGCCGAATTAGTGTTTAATCGCGCAGTAAATGCAATGCGAGCCGCCCTGGCTGCCCGCTTCATACAGCCTATCCAGAAAATGGTTTAGTGGCGCTTTCTCGAGCCGCCGACATGAAGTGCGGCAACCGTGAGCTCTTGCCTAGCTCACTACCCCTCCTCTAGTTCACGGCCACTCAAACGACCAAGGAAATCATGAAAAAGGTTATTTTTTGCTTGTTTTTGTAGTTCAAATTTGCCTATAACTCTTAAAATAAAAAAAAGTTTACTGAAGTTACTACATTCGGTGCACTCAGGTTCGGTGCAAATTAAAAATCAGTAAAAAAAAGTCCTTGCAGAGGGCCCCTTTAAGATGTCTCAAAATCAATCTGAAACACCTTGCAGCAGTAGGATCTTTACAGAGAGGCTTTTATGTGCCAACACATTTTCATACTGCACTCAAAGTCATTGCCGCCAAAGAACCTTGTCAGAATAATGGTACAAAATGCATGTCGGTTTTTCCATGATGTGATGTGGTACCCTTCCATTTAATATCTGCCATCAATGCTTCCACTCGACTTGTTTCAGATTCGCTTCTGCAATGGAAAGATTTGTGAGCGTGCACTAAGTTCCCCACAAAATGTTTACTGGAGCGTTTTTTTTTTCTTAGTTTAGGATGTTTTTAAAGGCCTGTTGCTATGCAATATACAATCTTGGCAATTTTTAATGATCAGGTTCTCTATATTGTATCTTCTTATATGTGTATAAGAAGCTTTACTATGAATTTGGGTCTGTTTTTGCCAAGTTATATGAGCAAAACATAGTGTGTCAAATATTTCTTGATGTGAAGGTCATCCACCTTCAACATGGTTCATTATTGTTTTCTTGTCATTTTTGTTCTATTATAGTAATTACATGCAATGTTCCAAAACACTAATTTTCTGTTCAGCCCTACTACACTGATACAAATTTGTTGTCAGCATCTAGAGGCAGATTTAAGAGTGTTTGCAAGTTGGTGTTGAATATGTTGGCAGCCCAAATCGTTGGCATGCTAATGCCTATTATGGTCCACCTGGCCATATTAATCACATTACCAATTGCCATGTTAAGCACATTCCAGTTTAATTATTACAATATTGTTTTGTTTTAAGGTTCTCAAAAAGAGTGAAAAAAATGAAGCTACCAAGGTCTTATTGTCCTTCTAGACCATAAATCCACACTCTTGCACAGTACAGCAAAATTAAGTTAACATCAAGGGCAGTATATTTTAAGGCATTTCTGGCTCCGCATAGGTAACCAGAAATGCTTGTAGGGCAAAGCTGTACGTCCTTAAATTTGCGTAGTTAGGAATGTTTTTTTCTTAAAGTGGCTTTTTGTTTTGCCCCTGCCTTAGACACTGTTTTGATAACTATCAAATAACTCTGTCTGGGTTTGAATATCCAAATGTAATGCAAAACTTAGTGAATTGTATTTGAAATTAAAAAAAAAAAAAGTATTTCCTCTTAGGTGTCTGGTAGAAATACAAAAAGTGTATTCCTTTTTATTACCTATAGGAGCATCTGCTGGCGATTTGTACACTTGTCTGCAGCTTACTGAGTGGAAACTTCAGTTAATTTTTATCAACAAGCTAATAACCTATGCTCAACTCTTTTGCTAGCTAAAATATACAGCCACAAAAGTGTTGATCTGCACTTGTAATTTGCAGGTGTCCTTTTTTTTTTACCTTGTTTTTTTGCCCCCTCCTGTCGTCGAAATGGTGGCAATGTATTTCTTAGCTGTGTTTATACTGTGTTTCTCTAAAATGTTGGGTTGCACTTGTGGTGTGATTAACGTAACAATCTGAAAGTCTCCAGCAAACTGCCCTAGAGGCCAGTGTTTCACTGCCCCTTGATGTCCGTCCCACCTTTTTAAAATTACCCTTCCTTTCTGCACTGGATGGGCACCTCATTTGTGACCCGGTTATGGCAGCAATCTCTTTTTCGTGAATGTTTTTTACATGCTTTTCTTGCTCTCTTACATGCTCCCATGTGGAGTTGTGTGTTTGTTCTTTTTTCCTGCTTTTACTCCCAAGTAAAACGACTCTTGGGGGTCATGAACACTTAGGGCCACTGCAATCTACTATCTGGTTGCATGTCACACATGCTAGATCACGCTGAAGCCACTGGAAGCCTATGCTGGTCCCAGGTGTAACCAATTTGTGCACTTGGGCAGTTTTTAGGGAGACATTTTTGTCATCTTTGCGGGAGTTTTTTTTTTATTTTCCATTTTGTAGCCATCGAGCATGGTGTACACGCTCATTCATGGTATGTGAGCATCATCTCATTCTTTTATTTTTATATATCTTTTCTCTTCACCAACATATTACAAATTTTCACTTAACCCATGCTAGATACTTTATTCAATACATATTCAATGTGCACATGAAATCACCGCTTAATATGCTTTAAAATGCCACTGATGCTACACTTTTGGGATAATGCTCACCTATCGGATTTTCACTGGCTTCAAATATTGCTGAGGCATGCCCATCGGGCATCCTTCCCTTGTAGAAATCGCTGGCTAGGGTCATGTCCCCCTTGAGTAATTTTCTTGATAAAGGTTACCTAAGCAAAACATTTTAACATGCACACGATGAGAGATCACTGGTTGATATCTGGAATGTGCACATTCTATTCGGGATGTGTTAAATTTTACATTCATGATTTCTTTTTCTTTTGATTGTGTGAAGGTGTTTTTATTGGGAATGTCACCTTGTAGTTGTTTCTGCTTGCTATCCATGGTGAAACTTTGTGTTCGATGTTCGAGTATTTTTGTTTATTGTCTGCTAATGCAACGGCATTGTTGTCCCATTTTATGTTAGCTTGCATTATCCCAGTAGTGGCATATTTTAGCTTGTGTTTTACAAACCTATTGTGTTAAATTGAGTGTAGTGTGTGTTTTAGTATAGCCCTGCATCATATATACTCAGTAAAGTAGAGCAGCTTAGTTTCACAATTTTTCTGCTGCATCCTTTTTGCTGCACATTGCTTTAGGTAATGACTCTGGATGCCTTGAACAAAGAACGATCAAATGTCTTACCTTAGCAATATGTTGAGCTTGTAACACTAGGTTACTTTTTAATTGAAGTGTCTGTGCCCTCTTTGAGACAACTTAATGGGCATTTTGCTTTTATCATTGTACAGCCTTACAAGTCTTCTGGAGGAAAAGGATGTCATTTATTTGGAGTGGAGTAGCCCGGTCGGTTGTGCAGGCTAGAAAGCAAGATTCATGAGAGAATTTTATGTATGCAAAATACACAAAACTGTTCTCATGAAGCTCCCAAATCTGTGCCAAACATTATTATGCAAACTCCGCAAATAAATAAACGAGAAAATTGCAGTTAGATCATGCCTTATAGCTGTGTAAACCAAAGCTGTGCCGGTGTCGTGTATCTACAACATGTATCCTATGCATAATCGAGGAAGCTATGTACCAATCATGCAACGCTGCCTATCGTATATACGGCACGGCACAACGCTACAAATATGCAGCGTATTTTGTAACTGCGAGGTTAATTGAAAAAATACCCTTTCTCGGCAATGCCTTCAGGAGGCTCCACGAATGACATTAGAAAACAGTAAGCCGTGACGAGTATCTGTACTTCATTTTCCACTCGTGTTCGATTGACGGTAGTTTTGTTCTGGTTACAAGGTCTGACCTTAGAGTTCGTGAACTCGCCACCCCGCGTTAGTGTGCCTACTGAAACCATGGGGGCCGTTTGCAATTTGAAGGTGGATACCCCCTGGGCCAATTAGTCGCAAGTGCGCATGTGTGGCGAGGAGGAAAGGCAGGGACGCTTGCAGACGATCAACTTTCTCGTCATCTCGCAGTTCGTGTTCCAAAATTGAACCCCTAAATCACGTGACCTTGATCGAGCAGTTGGAAACACTAATCTAGGCTAGGTGGCGCAAGCTACCGCCCGATATAAGGGGTACACTGTTAGGCGTCTGCGCGTGGGCGAGCGATTGCTTGTCTCTAAACAGTGCGTTGGCGGATAGTGTCTTAGCATGCAGGCTCCCTAAGCATGACACGGTGCGCTAGTAACATTATGCTGTCTTCTAGCTCCGGTGATGGCGCGCAGCCTTGCTTTCTTTTTAACGGGTGGCAGAAAGGGATCACATGGAAGCAAAGACACGCCGTGGCGGCGCAGCGGCGAGTTCTCGTACTTTATTGCCGCGCATCATATTGAGAATTTTCCGTCTAGTTTATTCTAGGGGCTTTGACCCCTCTGCCTAGCAGATACTTTGTTGAATTATTTTAAGTTTGAGAAAATCCTGTCTTTCGCAGCAGGCCAATTAATCTTGACTTTACTGGAGATCCGGTGCATATCTTTCTCCTACACAGGATTTCGGTGCAATATTCTCTGTCGGGTTCATTGCTGTTATTTGTACGAGAACACAAAGCTTCTTTCATGTCTACCTTAAACAATATATTTGTTTTCCTTAGCGCTACGAGTTTTACCATATCCCTCGCTTCCTTTGCTACGGTGGTTGCTTTTGTGTCCTGATCTTGGTAACGGAGTATTTGGATATGTTCTTTGCCTTTACGACATTGTAGTTGAGGCACGCACCCTTTTACCCATCTGTGCGGAAGCGATCTACCAAAACTCTAACTTTTTGTCTAAACAGGAACGTACAAACATTTAGGGCGAATTTGTGCACGCCTTCTTTTAGTAGCGTGTGTGCAAACTGTAGCCAGTGCTTGTGGCAGTACTTGTATTCAATAAAAATACTTCCTCCAAAAAATCGTTGCTGCTATGATGTTGATCGGGCACGCGGCTGTATAAGCTGGGACCTGCAACTGTTAGCGTCATCTTGCTTACTGAAAAGCAAACGGTTTTGTTCTTTACAGTACCATTTTGACAGGACTGCTTACGGTATAAACGGATAAAAAAAAAACAAAAAAAAAACGCAAAATTAATTTTAATTAAAAGATGGAAGGTAGGTGGGGGGAGACCTATGGTGGGTGCTTCTGAAGGGGTGTCCCAAACAGGACACTACAAAACGCACGACTCCGACAAATCGTGAAAATTGAAGCGGGCGCGTCCGCTTCAATTTTCACGATTTGTCGGAGTCGTGCGTGTTGTGTCCTGTTTGGACACTCCTTCAGTCGTACTCCAATAAGCGTAGTAAAAAAAGTCCAGCTTCTCGCGGTGACATTCACTTGACGTCACTCGCTAGGTTCGCTGCCATCGCCCACCGCGGTCGCCATCTTCGAGGTCTCTTGCTATCGCGAATGCCATCTGGCCGGACCTTTTGAGCGTGGTTTAGCAGTATTTTACAACTTTAAAGGGTCTTTTTGATCGAAACTAGGGGTTATTCTTATACTTTGGTACTTTTGAAGCGCCGTGGGAGTATTTTTTGTGTGTTTTAGTTTGTTTTTGTCGCAATCGAACTCGTTTACCGCGGCCGCGTTGCTCCCTTGGCTCCATGAAGCGCTCCGTGCCGCCCGCCGTGCCGACGGCGGTAGCTCTTGCAAGAACTAATTTTTCTACTTTGGTGCTTTTGTAGCACGGTGTGATTACTCTTTGTTCTGTTTTGCTAGTTTCATTATTGTTTTTCTCTAGCTGATTTTCTGTACTACGGCCACTACGGCCGTGTAACCGTGTGGCTCCATCGCCGCTGTGTCGTACATACGTCGTGCTTTCGGTGTTCGTTCCTGTGCAGAAACATACCGTGCGGCTCCCAGGGTGCGCAGCTTATAAAAAATGCGGCGCATTTTCATTAGCCCAACCGATTTAAAAACCGCATGTAAGCGATTTGGCGAGCGGGAAGACAAGCGACGGCGACCCGCTTCGCTGCCGCTCGGTCACTCGCGCGACGAGGCAAACCGCATGAAAGCGACGGGAGCACACGACCAAGGCGATGAGCGCTAAGTTTTTTAGAAATCCAAAAACCGAGCTACGCGACAAGTGACAGTGAAGGGTGAACCGCATGTAAGCGATTTAGCGAGCGATGGCGACAGCGACGAGCGACGGAGATTTCTCGCGGTCGGTCGTCGCGTCGCTTGGCTTTTGGATTTCTAGAAAGGGTCGCTTATCGCCTTGGTCGCATGCTCCCGTCGCTTTCATGCGGTTTGCCACGTCGCGCGAGTGACCGAGCGACAGCGAAGCGGGTCGTCGTCGCTTGTCTCGTCCCGTCCCGTCGCTCGCCAAATTGCTTACATACGGTTCAGCCTTTACACACGGTACTCGGCGGCAACAAGGAAAACGGTCCGCCCCCGAGACCAACTTTTCTTCTCTCTTCTGTTCAACGAAGCTTCAAAGATATGAAATTAGCACACACTAGCAGCCTAGCAGCGGACGACCGCGTAGCGTACCCAAGCCAGTCAAACCGAGACCTCGAAGATGGCGGATCGACGGTGGCGCTCCCTGGCAAAATCGAACCTGCAGGCTCAGTGAATACCAGCCACTGATCTCTATGACAATTGCTGGATCGCGCTTCCCCGCTTGTTCGCTGCAGTGCAAGTGAAGCCACCGGACTTCACTCGCTTGGGATACGATTTGCCGTTTTTGCTAGCCTTTGCTGCGGTTTTCCAGCGTGCTGTGGACACGTTTTCTACTCGTTCGTCGTCATTCGCCGAAGAAGTTTTTTGAAGACTCTGTGTATTGTTGAGACTTGCCGTCGTGAACACGTGGAAAATTTTACGAAAGTGCAGTGTCGCAGGAAAAAGGCACAACGCGTCGAAAGGAAGGGCTAGCGGCGTGTTCAAAGCATCCATGGCACGCCGAAGTGCCGTGTCTCTGTGCCTTCGCACGCTTGGATACCGACCAAGAACCGACGCCGTGTGTATGCGTCTAGCGAGTGCAATGTGCGTGAAGCTGTTCGTGCCTCTGGATCAGCGTCTTTTCCCCTCGCGGTTTAGGAACGAGCTTAATCCAGCGTCCACTAGCGACGGAAGAGGGGGGGAAGGTACGTCTTTTTTTCGTCCTTAGACGATTTACACAATACCGTGCACAACAGCTCCTCATCACTGATCAGTGCTGGCAATTATTATCAACCTACTTAATTGCACTTGACGTTTGAGCGCGGCTCGCCTAATTGTAATTGGTCAGCAGATTGCACACGACCGTATCGGCCGCGCTTCAAAGATTTTCATTCTCGCCGTCTTGTACTTTTGCTTTCGAAAACCCCCCTGGCTCCACAACGTTGCCCTATTCGTGCTCCCACGGAATCTATTAGAGTAGATTTGGGACATAGCCATGGCTAATATAGTACATATTAACACGTACAGATCTCTCCCTTTTATTGATAGCAACTCACCGGAACAGCTGGACGATCAAGAACTCCGTGGCCGATATATATAAATGATCTAAAGGCTTCTACGCGCGACACACGTTCAGAACTTAGGCGCGGCGTCAATTCTTGACCGGTATCCAAGCGTGCGAAGGCACAAAGATGCATCACTCGGCGTGCCAAGGAAGCTTTGATCACGCCGCGACACCGGCGACACTTGTTTTCGACGAGTTGTACCTTTTGATACGGCTTCACGCTCATTGCACTCGCAAAACACATCCACACGGCGTCGGTTCTTGGTCGGTATCCAAGCGTGCGAAGGCACAGAGACACGGCACTTCGGCGTGCCAAGGAAGCTTTGAACACGCCGCCAGCCCTTCCTTTCGACGCGTTGTGCCTTTTTCCTGCGACACTGCACTTTCGTAAAATTTTCCACGTGTTCACGACGTCAAGTCTCAACAATACACAGAGTCTTCAAAAAACTTCTTCGGCGAATGACGACGAACGAGTAGAAAACGTGTCCACAGCACGCTGGAAAACCGCAGCAAAGGCTAGCAAAAACGGCAAATCGTATCCCAAGCGAGTGAAGTCCGGTGGCTTCACTTGCGGGAGCGGCAAGCGCGATCCAGCAATTGTCATTGAGATCAGTGATACCACCTATAAAGGTGCATTTTAGATTAGATATGTTATCAAGACGTACGCGTTTCGAACACCAAAAGCATCGCTTCTTCCTCCGACAACCAAATGTAAGAACTACTTCGCGCGGCGTATGAAGAATGCGCAAAACGTTTTCCTTGGGGTGATAACAAGTATAGATAACAAGGCTGTAGTACTGGATTTTCTACATCACCATCCGGAGGCAAACGCGGAGCACACAATAGGCTGGGGCTCGCCGCTGATTGGACGAGTCCCAGCCGGACACTGACGCAGCAGTCTTATCCAACCTGTGTATACCACACTGGTTTCCAGTAGCCGACGTAGGAAATCCAGCGCTTCGAGCTGATGGGACCAATGAGCGTCGAAAGCGCACCATCGTGGCGTTCGTTAAGTCTGTACGTGTTTGATCATTACTGAACCCATCATAAACAGAAAAGGTCCAGTGAATTGCGATTTCGACACTACTTGATTGGTCCCATCACCTCGTGGCGTCGGCTGCGTTTAAACCAGGGTGTAAGATAGACAGGTGGGGAAACGAGAGCCAATGAGCGACCGGATTGTGTCCCTTTCGGTTTTCTCTTTTTCTGTGGCGCCATCTATGTGGAGCACCACGAACTCTCACTCCGGGTGGGCGAACGGTGGCGACCGGCTAAACGGACGGAGAAGGTTTTTCGTGGATTTTCAATGGAGGACTGTCGTGCTCTCGGTTTATTTTGCGCACTCGCCCATAAAGTTCCATGCAAATTTGATTCCAATTTTTTTTCTTCTCGCCGCAGCGCCATCTGTCGCAAGTCGGGGGTACGCGCAAGCAGACGAGTACACAATCCGGTCACGGCGCTGCGGTAGGTTTCTATGGGTCGTTTCCCCACCAGTCTATCTTACACCCTGGTTTAAACTCAGATGGCCCCTGAAAAAAAAAAAAAAAAAATGGTTGGGACACGCGTGTCAAAAATAATTTTTTGCGCGAAAAAAATATTTAGAGCAATATTCACGACGCGAGATTTATTTTAAATTCTGCGCGCGAAGTTCATGACGTCACGGAATGGTCATACGCTCTTTCCACCCCAACGAGATGCTCATACACTTTCTCCACCTCAACGTGATGGCCAAGCCGATCCCTTTCTCCACGCGCCCGAAATGCCGAGAGAAAAAACACATGGAAAGGAAGTGACTACTGACTAAACTAAATCACGTCTCGCGCCGTCAATATTGCTCTAATTTTTTTAGGCTACAGCGTTTGCGGTGGCACCAAGGCAATAGGACTAACGCGTCGTGCGCAAACCGCACCACAAAGAAGGGTCAGACAGCCACTTTGACACCGCGCTTCATGCCAGGTCACATGATCCCAGGAAAGTTCATTCGCGGAAACTTCATATCAAAGACATTTTATTCCGAGACGTTTTATCACAATACTTTTTTATTCCAGGGAGATTTCATATACCACGTGACGTCATATCAGGCACGAACGAAATGTTTTGGAATGATGTGAGTGTTAAACGACTGCAGATTAAGCGCGAAACACATGTACGACAAAACCGTCCGATCCGACGTGCGGACTGCCGGAATGACCTTGGGGGGGAGAGGGTTTTCGTAGCATCGGAGAGCGTTGAAAACTCTCGCCTCCGACCGTCGTATTGCGCGGTCGGACGTCGGATCGGACGGTTTCGTCGTACATGTGTTCGCGCTTTACGCGGTGGCGCGGTGTGGTCCTACTCAACGAAGTTGGGTAAATTTTTAGCCCGCGGTATCGCCTCTTCACCTTTGCTCAAGAAACAGTTTCCTCTCTCTTACTTGCGAAAGACTTAGCAACCCGAATTATGAGCTACATGATCGTGCGCCAGTTAATGCTCGGTGCGTTCTCTGTCTGCAGCAATGCCCTGACACGTAAGATCGCCTCTGCGAATAGCGGTCTCCAACACAGTGCACCCACCAGCTACCATAAGAGGCTGCATGACAACCACTATCACAAGACATTACTTCAATTCATCCATACCACCAGGCCTTGTAGCATACTTATAAAACATTTATGCCTAAAGGCAACCCCCTACGTAAAAAAAAAAGAAAACAAAAAAAACTCTGATTAGGTTTACCTGGGGAGTCGCGAATCAAAATTAGCAGCAGCGTGACGTTGCATGCAACCGGCTCCGTGTTGCACGGAGTAGATGGTCACGCGTGGTACGCAGGCTCCCAGTTCCTGAAGCCAATCAGGAGCTCGGAGCATGCAGCCAATCAGGACTGAGTCGAACTGAACGAGTCAGTGCCAGTGCATTTTCCCGATTACGCGTGCGAAAACAATTATTAGCGAACGACGTCCGCTCTCAAGGAAAAATCTGTTGGCGCGTGAGGCAAAGCTGAACGAACGCCCAGATGAGCAGCAACAAAGCGAGGATCATGGCAGACCCAGCGCAGCCCACTGACGGAGGGTGACGTTCCATGAAACTCCGCTCGAAAGACACGGTTGGTACGCTCTAAGAAAGAAAAGAAAAAAAAAACAACAACAACATAAGATTACATTTGGGTTTGGTGTTTGTGGCGTACACCGACCGATAAACCTGGAAACTATCCCCCAAGTCGGTTTCATCAAAATCGGGGGAAACCGAAAAACTTTGAATTGGAGAATTGACGTAAAAGTTAGTCCGCTGTGCAGCGGGACTAACGTTTAAGCGGAAAAATCATTCAAAGAAAGAATAAAAATTGCTGGGTTTACGGTTACATCGTCGTTCCTCAGGTCTTTGTTGAGCCTCCAGTAGAGACCGGAGAAGCCAGTCTTCCCTTTCACCAGTGCTCACCAAGTCAGTTAAGCATGGCATAGTGAGATCGTTTTTCAAGTTCCCATCCTCCAAATCGTGTAAGCACTGCTTCGAAAGTAGCCTCAAGTTGCAGCATGAGATGTTGAAAAAAGCAAGCTTTCCTGCGGACCTACTTGATTCCACTCTCAGGCCACTACTTCCGCAGGCTGTTGCCAAAAAGAAAAATCGTTTCGCTGTGATTCCCATGGAAAATTCCGCGCACCGTTTAAAATCTGTCGCGTCCAAGTTCTACACGAGTGTATATATATATATATATATATATATATATATATATATATATATATATATATATATATATTTTTTTTTTTTGTAAATGAAAGCGACAGTCCCAGAGGGTGCAATGTTAAACATGCCAAGAAGTTCGTAGAAGTGCGAAGAAAAAAAAGTTTATTCAATTCCACTAAGCTGAGGCAGCCATTACATCGAACAAAGTGGGGGATGCGTTAACCATCGACTCAGAGAACACAACTTGGAAGCATCAAAGGCTTCAAAAGAGTCTTTTCACCCATTTGTCGTTCAAAGTCGCGCGGGCGATGACTGTACTCCTTATTTCTCTGATACTAGAATACTAGGCGGGCACAATAACAGATTTTGGAGAGAAATCATTGAATCATTTGCCATGGGGACTGTCAACATTTCTTCACCTTCGTTATCACTGACAAAGGCAGAGGTCGAATTCCCAACACCAGAGGTGACTAGATTATTGATACCTCATCGTGACGCTAGTGCTTTTTAAACTTTTAAGTTTATATACCTCGTTTCACCCTACGGACCTACAGATCCAATCCCAAGCCACTTAGAAATTGCGAAGTATTTCGCTTCGGTACACTTTTCGGTGCCCGCGTCTCGGATCACTGATGGGGATGGGTGGATAGGGGTTCAAATCGAAGAGCACTGAATAATTTATCAAGCTTAGATTGCAAAAAGAAAAAATAAGTCACGTCATACAGGCTCCTTGCAGTGTCGGAGCTCTAGAAATGATGCAGCTCTTCTTGATTCGGAGCATTATTCGTTTACCCCTAATCAGTGTTAAGCAGGTCATAGTTTAACGTAGAACGTCATTGAACCTGGCGGCCCGTGGCTTTCGACTTTAGTCCATCGTAGGATAAGGCAAAGCAACAATATTTCTACGCCTTCATTATCACTGACAAAGACAGGTCGAATTCCTACCACCAGGGTTGACTGGATTATACTGATACCTCGTCGTGACGCTAGTGCGTTTTAAACGTTTAAATTTATAGTAATTTTCCCTTTCCTTCACCAATTTTCTTCTTTCTATTTTCGAGAACGTTGAAACCTTTGGGGGCGGTTTTATATTTTGTGTCATTCTATGTCGTTGCTCAATGAAAGGTCCTGTTTCCGTCTCTGTCCTCGATGTGTTATCCTTTCACGTATTCGTAACTATCTGGGTGGCTGTTTCTTTGTTCGGGAACCTTGTTTTTTTCTGTGATCTGTAGCGGTACATTTTCTAGGGTTTCGCGCTTGTTCCTTGGAAGTTGGAGAATCCCATGCCCGCGATTCCGTTCTCTTCAACAGAAGCCACAATAAACGTCAAATGTTTTTGACCGATAATTTATACCGAAAAATTCAGAATCTAAAATATAGGCACTGAAAAAAAAAACCCACAAAAAACATACCCGAATTTGGGGAAAAAACACTAAAACATGGAACCTTAGGATTCTCCTGCAAGCCGTTCACTGTCCGTTCACAAGAGAACCGTACGCTGCGGTTTTAATATGACATGGTGCAGTTTTGCTACCGCAAGACAATACAAACAAACAAAACAGCACATCTATTTAAGGTATCAAGTTATAGATCGGAGATACGCGTGTGGACTCGGAAGAACTTCCAATGACATCAGGTATGAAAATAGTGACACAATAGAAAGTTTGCAACAAAATAAAAACAACAAATCGGCAAACACACCAGCAATCAAAATCACAAATTGACATTTAGCTAAGCAATTTATTTATTCAGTTAATTTGGAAGCTTTAGTCGACAGTTAATTCACATAACCACGATAACGACACCCGATACCCTGCCTACGCCTTTGCTTATACATCCTTCCTTCGCCGCGTATCGTTATCGGAGTCATCAGAACGATGTACTAAAACTCTCTATTCACGGTTCAGATGCGCAACCGCGACGCTACAGTTACGAATGGTAACCGTTATGTCGCGGTTGCTACGGTTCCCATTTATTTTACACCTATGTGCTATGGTTTTGTTCTTTTCGCATACGCTCTGTCCATTTCAGCCAAGAAAACGGCACAAAACGGCGCGAGGGCGGAAAGAAAAGACGCGGACCAAATGTTCCAGTGCACAATCGAGAAACGAACGACTGTCAAGCGTGAAGTCGGACGGCCATGTTCCTGTGAGCATAAAGGCACCCTTCGAGAAATGAAGAAGTGCGAAGCTTGAATTTATGTGGAGGGGCTTTTGGGCCTAGATCCGCTTATCCAAGAAAGAACCAACACTGCTATTCGGCGCAACAAAATCAGCTTTTTTGCAACCTGTTTACAAGCCTGTTCGTCTATGATCTAGTTGTGGCGTTTGGGCTTAACGAAAGTCGGTATTAGTTGGTTTAGAATTTGACGTACCTGTAACCAATATTCGTTGTGTTCGCCTAGTTCATTCATTCAAGTTTATTTTTTCCGTGGCAGTACTTCAAGGGTGCGCTGATTCACGTTTGCAATCATGTACATTGTGATAAATTTTTCCCCGCATTTTACTAGAGTGATATTTGTGGATACACGAACGCAACTGTAAAAATGTCACGATTGCGTTCCAAAAGCATTCGTTTGCCTTCACCGATTTATTTCTAGTCAAGAGTTTACGTCTACCTTCACAGAAAAACAATCTTACTTTAAATTCCTTTTCGTCGGCCCATACTTCATCTTCTTTTATCAATTTCATGTCGCGCAGGACCTGAAACGTGCAGCAATGAAAGGCAAATGAATATCTAGCATATACAGGTGTTACAAAGATACCATCAGTGTGTTACTATAATTGGATATCTACAGTGTTTCACGAAAGGTGGACAAATTCAGTATTGTAAAAACTACGCATCGCACAAAAAAAAAAAAGAAAAAAAAGAAGAAGGCTTGTGTTGTTTTGGTTTTACGCCAGGGGCCTATTTAGGAAAATGATTAAAGTTCGGGCTAATTAAGTTGTTAAACATTTTCGCGTAATTAACTTTCTATATGTTTAGTTGAAGGACATGGTTTCGATTAGAATCTTGTTGAGCATCATCAGAAAACACTAAATGAACGAGTTGCTGAACGATAGAAGGCACGCGCGGTATTTTACGGCTTTCTGAAAAACCCTACAACTTGGACGGGTTTTTTAAGTATCGGTAGAGTCCCTGGAATTATCGGTTTGCAATCGAAGCTATTCTCGGCAGCGACGGCACCGCACCCCGTGGAGAAATAGTGCAACCAGCCTCTGCTGCGCACGTCGAGCGAGGACAGCGCAGCGGAGGCAGGTTGCACTATTTCTCCACCGGGTGCGGTGCCGTCGGTGTCGAGTTTGGAGAAGCGCTCCGATTGCAAACCGAAACTTAATAACCCGTCGAAAGTTGTGCGGCTCTTCAGAAAGCCGTAAAATACCGCGCGTGCCTTCTATCGTTCTGCAACTTGTTCATTTAGCGTTTTTCGATGTTGCTCAGCAGGATTCTAATAAAAACCATGCCCTTAAACTCAATATATAGAAAATTATATACGCGAAAATAACTAACAACTTAATTATTTCAAACTTCAATAATTTTCCTAAATAGGCCCCGTGGCCTAGGACCAAAACGACACAAGCCTTTTTTTGGTGCGATGCGTAGTATTCGCAATATCCAATTTGTCCACTTTTCGTGAAACACCCTGTATAGCAATGGCAGAAACCTATTGGTGGGAGGAAACACTGAAAACCGCGCAGTCTCGCAAATATAAGGTGCAAGAAACTGGTCACCTCTCTGGCGGCCCTTTCTCCAGCCTGCACTGCACCGTTCATGGTACCTGGCCATGACGTTGCAGTTTCGGTTCCCGCAAAGTAGACCCTGTAAAAGGGCTGCCGGAGGACCCTGCATCAAGACAGCTGGTAGGCAAACGAGTACTACAAAAAACTTCTTCACTTAAGCTTAAAAATATCTTAGGAGCCTCACTTTCCGTATTTTGTCGTTGCGCCTGCAGGAAATACAGAAGCGTAGCCACCTCCGAAGTACCGGTCCTGGAACCAGTTTTTCTCCTCGTAGTGAGCATACTGAAATAAGGGTTCGGTACGTCGGAGAAGTTGCAGGCATGAATCGTAGCGGCATATCGTTAACGTACGTGATAGGCCTCATCGCTTTGGAACACACGTGCCAAGTCTCTAGATATCTGCATCATCCTTGCTTCAACTGGCAGTTTTTGAAGCTTTAGTGCGTTGTCGCCAACGACGAAACTGCGAAAAAAAAAGAAGGTTGTAGGGAGAAAAATGTTAACATAGAGCTCCATTTTGCCTATACTTATGGGCACCATTGTCAAGAGCATAACCGAAAGCACTGTGTGAGCAGTTCCTTTTTGGTGCTTGGTTCTTATTAGGATAAATTCTGCGACAGATTGGTACGACTCACTGAGTTCTTTAAGAAAAAGCTGTAAACGAATGATGCCCGCGAAGACAACCCAAGAGGTGCCGAAACGCTGTTGAAAGTACGCAAGAGGCTTTCTCGGAAAAAAAGACAAATAAGGGAGTATTCATAGTTTATCTACTGCTGTGGTCTTTCTTTTTTTTCAACTAGTGCCCTCGTTTTTTGTAGAGTTATCTTCTCATGACCCCAACTTTCGCGTTCTTTTTTATGTGAATGTTTGTGTTTTCAGGAGGTTAAAAATGACATGATTTCAATGATTTCAATTGAAACAAAGCAGATTTGCCTATGGCCGTCTGACCCCACGAAGGTTTCCAGCTAAAAATAAATGACACAATTTTTTTTTTAATTCCACCGTATTCGGCCCAAAACTACACCGTGTGAAAATTGAAAAAAAAAAAAAAAGTATTCCGCTCCTTGGATGACGGTGGAGTAAAAGGCCCGGGTACTTTTCTAGACAATCCACTTTGTCCTCTCTTTATGCATATATTCGTGACTTCAGTTACTGATTTTATGTGTGATTTTAATACCATCCGTTTTCCTGTTTTCCCCTTAAGTCGTCAGGCCGTACCAGTTACCGTCGCACATTTTTTTTTTGTTGCACCTCAGTAGTTCTTTTTCTCCACTTTCTTGTTCATGTGTTAGTCGCAGCATTCAAAACGAGGGCCTATATTTTTCGTTTATTTATTAACACTTGCCGAAGAAACTATTGTCGCTTCGCTTTAGAGGAAGAAACATGCATAGAAACGAGCGTCACTGAGCACATGGTTGGGGTTCTGTCAAAGAGAAGAGGTGAAGCAGTTATGGAAAATATTACTACAACTAGGTGTCATATTTCATCAATTAAATTAATTATAATCATCATTCTGTATGAACCACACATCATCTCTACGTCGCTTATGCGGAGCGCAAGTTCGTCTGCTTCTTTTGCAGGGGTTGGGGTGTCATCAGAACGCCGAGCTCTGATTGGCTCTGATTGAAGGATAGTGGGTAGACCACAAGTCAGCTTGCTTTGAGGTATATATCCCCTACAGAATAAGCAGACGAACTTGCGCTCCGCATAGCCTAGGTCCGAGGGATATAACTCTGAAGCATCTGCTCAGAACTCGCGCCTTTACATATAGATTTTCTTTTGCTTACACCGTGAGCGCTGCCAAGGGCCGTTTGGGATGACAGTCGTCAAGAACTTCGTTGAAGCAAAGTTGGCCATCGCCGCTGGTCACCTGCCCGCTGTAGCCTGGGAGGGGGCCTCTGATCAATTATTGTTCTTATGCACAAATCGGGGAGTTATAATGCGGCTGGCACCATCAACGACTGTTGAAGCTCCATTATAACTGCGTGCTCGTGCTACAAGTATACTGTAAATAGTAACAAACAGCGAAGACGTGTTCCCTCAACACTAACAGCAACAGTTTCAGATTGACAAGACTACACGCACAAGCGTGCCATTGGCGTCGCAGCTTTTTGGGTATGGTGAGTGAACAAGGATAAGGTGTGTGGCTATATTCGTGCCGTGGCACGAACATGCAGTCTTTATGGCTCTGCAGGTCCAAGAGAGAATTGCCATAATTTTTAAAGTTAAGGCCCTCAAGGGCCCCTGAAAAATTGAGAAAACTCAATTTAGACGCGTTTCTAGGTTTCGGTTTTGTAAGGGGTCGTATCTTTGCGCCACCGGTCCTACCCTTTGCCAAAGCACGCGACTTCCGCCCCTCCTCCCTCAGGACAGAGGGAGTTGTGGCGCGGGCTGGCGAAATGCAACGCTGTGCATGTTCAAAGCACGAGCTTTTGAATCTTGGGTTCACCTCCGTCATGCGAAGAATGCATGGCCAACGTCGTGGCGAACATTAGTTGCGCGCTTTGGCCAGAGGAGAGCAGGACCTCTGGCGCGGGGATGCTTTTTGGTGGGAAAGCGACATTTTAAAATTAAGTGTTTTTGGGAACGGAGTAAAATTTTCCTGGTGCCGTATTTCTTTGTAAAGTGCACTGATTTAATGGTTTTCAATTATTCACAGAAAGTGCCGAATTAAAACCATACCGTTAAACTTGCTAATTAAATTTAGTTGCTCAAAATTAAGAAACTAGTGTTACCGTAAAGACAGGGGACGGGACAACACATCTTTCAACTTTCAACAAACAAATTTTTTTTTGTTTTTGTTTTGTTTGTTGAAAGTTGAAAGATGTGTTGTCCCGTCCCCTGTCTTTACGTATACAACTCTTTCTAAACCTACATCATTACCAACGCTCTTTCTAAACCTACATCATTACCAACAAATTTTTTGTTTGTTGAAAGTTGAAAGATGTCTTGTCCCGTCCCCTGTCTTTACGTTTACAACTCTTTCTAAACCTACATCATTACCAACGCTCTTTCTAAACCTACATCATTACCAACAAATTTTTTGTTTGTTGAAAGTTGAAAGATGTGTTGTCCCGTCCCCTGTCTTTACGTATACAACTCTTTCTAAACCAACATCATTACCAACGCTCTTTCTAAACCTACATCATTACCAACAAATTTTTTGTTTGTTGAAAGTTGAAAGATGTGTTGTCCCGTCCCCTGTCTTTACGTATACAACTCTTTCTAAACCTACATCATTACCAACGCTTTTTCTAAACCTACATCATTACCAACAAATTTTTTGTTTGTTGAAAGTTGAAAGATGTGTTGTCCCGTCCCCTGTCTTTACGTTTACAACTCTCTCTAAACCTACATCATTACCAACGCTCTTTCTAAACCTACATCATTACCAACAAATTTTTTGTTTGTTGAAAGTTGAAAGATGTGTTGTCCCGTCCCCTGTCTTTACGTTTACAACTTTTTCTAAACCTACATCATTACCAACGCTCTTTCTAAACCTACATCATTACCAACAAATTTTTTGTTTGTTGAAAGTTGAAAGATGTGTTGTCCCGTCCCCTGTCTTTACGTATACAACTCTTTCTAAACCTACATCATTACCAACGCTCTTTCTAAACCTACATCATTACCAACAAATTTTTTGTTTGTTGAAAGTTGAAAGATGTGTTGTCCCGTCCCCTGTCTTTACGTATACAACTCTTTCTAAACCTACATCATTACCAACGCTCTTTCTAAACCTACATCATTACCAACAAATTTTTTGTTTGTTGAAAGTTGAAAGATGTGTTGTCCCGTCCCCTGTCTTTACGTTTACAACTCTTTCTAAACCTACATCATTACCAACAAATTTTTTGTTTGTTGAAAGTTGAAAGATGTGTTGTCCCGTCCCCTGTCTTTACGTTTACAACTCTTTCTAAACCTACATCATTACCAACGCTCTTTCTAAACCTACATCATTACCAACAAATTTTTTGTTTGTTGAAAGTTGAAAGATGTGTTGTCCCGTCCCCTGTCTTTACGTTTACAACTCTTTCTAAACCTACATCATTACCAACGCTCTTTCTAAACCTACATCATTACCAACAAATTTTTTGTTTGTTGAAAGTTGAAAGATGTGTTGTCCCGTCCCTGTCTTTACGTTTACAACTCTTTCTAAACCTACATCATTACCAACGCTCTTTCTAAACCTACATCATTACCAACAAAATTTTTGTTTGTTGAAAGTTGAAAGATGTGTTGTCCCGTCCCCTGTCTTTACGTTTACAACTCATTCTAAACCTACATCATTACCAACGCTCTTTCTAAACCTACATCATTACCTACAAATTTTTTGTTTGTTGAAAGTTGAAAGATGTGTTGTCCCGTCCCCTGTCTTTACGTATACAACTCTTTCTAAACCTACATCATTACCAACGCTCTTTCTAAACCTACATCATTACCAACAAATTTTTTGTTTGTTGAAAGTTGAAAGATGTGTTGTCCCGTCCCCTGTCTTTACGTATACAACTCTTTCTAAACCTACATCATTACCGACGCTCTTTCTAAACCTACATCATTACCAACAAATTTTTTGTTTGTTGAAAGTTGAAAGATGTGTTGTCCCGTCCCCTGTCTTTACGTATACAACTCTTTCTAAACCTACATCATTACCAACGCTCTTTCTAAACCTACATCATTACCAACAAATTTTTTGTTTGTTGAAAGTTGAAAGATGTGTTGTCCCGTCCCCTGTCTTTACGTATACAACTCTTTCTAAACCTACTTCATTACCAACGCTCTTTCTAAACCTACATAATTACCAACAAATTTTTTGTTTGTTGAAAGTTGAAAGATGTGTTGTCCCGTCCCCTGTCTTTACGTATACAACTCTTTCTAAACCTACATCATTACCAACGTTCTTTCTAAACCTACATCATTACCAACAATTTTTTTGTTTGTTGAAAGTTGAAAGATGTGTTGTCCCGTCCCCTGTCTTTACGTTTACAACTCTTTCTAAACCTACATCATTACCAACGCTCTTTCTAAACCTACATCATTACCAACAAATTTTTTGTTTGTTGAAAGTTGAAAGATGTGTTGTCCCGTCCCCTGTCTTTACGTATACAACTCTTTCTAAACCTACATCATTACCAACGCTCTTTCTAAACCTACATCATTACCAACAAATTTTTTGTTTGTTGAAAGTTGAAAGATGTGTTGTCCCGTCCCCTGTCTTTACGTTTACAACTCTTTCTAAACCTACATCATTACCAACGCTCTTTCTAAACCTACATCATTACCAACAAATTTTTTGTTTGTTGAAAGTTGAAAGATGTGTTGTCCCGTTCCCTGTCTTTACGTATACAACTCTTTCTAAACCTACATTATTACCAACGCTCTTTCTAAACCTACATCATTACCAACAAATTTTTTGTTTGTTGAAAGTTGAAAGATGTGTTGTCCCGTCCCCTGTCTTTACGTATACAACTCTTTCTAAACCTACATCATTACCAACGCTCTTTCTAAACCTACATCATTACCAACAAATATTTTGTTTGTTGAAAGTTGAAAGATGTGTTGTCCCGTCCCCTGTCTTTACGTATACAACTCTTTCTAAACCTACATCATTACCAGCGCTCTTTCTAAACCTACATCATTACCAAAAAATTTTTTGTTTGTTGAAAGTTGAAAGATGTGTTGTCCCGTCCCCTGTCTTTACGTATACAACTCTTTCTAAACCTACATCATTATCAACGCTCTTTCTAAACCTACATCATTACCAACAAATTTTTTGTTTGTTGAAAGTTGAAAGATGTGTTGTCCCGTCCCCTGTCTTTACGTATACAACTCTTTCTAAACCTACATCATTACCAACGCTCTTTCTAAACCTACGTCATTACCAACAAATGTTTGTTTGTTGAAAGTTGAAAGATGTGTTGTCCCGTCCCCTGTCTTTACGTATACAACTCTTTCTAAACCTACATCATTACCAACGCTCTTTCTAAACCTACATCATTACCAACAAATTTTTTGTTTGTTGAAAGTTGAAAGATGTGTTGTCCCGTCCCCTGTCTTTACGTATACAACTCTTTCTAAACCTACATCATTACCAACGCTCTTTCTAAACCTATATCATTACCAACAAATTTTTTGTTTGCTGAAAGTTGAAATATGTTTGTTCGTCCCCTGTCTTTACGTATACAACTCTTTCTAAACCTATATCATTACCAACGCGCTCACTAACAAGCATAGTGTTTCCGAACGTTAGTACTTTTCCTAGGTGGGTCATTTTGCATAAATCAATGCGAAATAAACCCTGTTTTTTTGCGCTGCTTTTTTGCAGGAGCGATTTGGTTCGTGTTTCAAGAAACACGCTGTATATTGAAGCGCAGAGACTATCTAGCTTGCTATAGTCGGTGACAGGTCAAGAACAAAGTAGAAGCTCCTCCCACTTCTTTCCTCTTTAGTAGAGCGAACGCTGGAAAGGAGGCGACCTCCTCTCCAGCGTTCGCTCTGCTAGAGTGGGAAGAAGTGGGAGGAGCTTCCACTTCGTTCTTGACTTGTCACCGACTATAGTCACTCTAAAGAAAACTAATGGCGAATTCCACTGGGCATTTTGGAGCGCGCCGCGGGATCAGTTGACTAGATCCAGACTGGAGTTCACGATCCGAACGGGGTCGCGCCGCCTACGGATCCCCATGTGGAACATGACCAGTGCTCTGGGATCGGCGGACGCCTTCCCGTCATTCAACTGCCCGGGAATCTCCTTTCCGCGGCCGCCGCGGTCGTTTCGAAGACGTTTTCGCAATCGGGGCGCAAACACGTGTTCGACGCACGAGCGGCAGGAATGGCTCAGGCGCTTCTAGCAAAGATTGCCGGAATGCCCGTAGCACGGCAAATACCTTTTCTTCTTTTTCCTGGAAAACGAACCGGCTGTCGAGCCAAGGGGTAAGCAAGTGGCCATTACGAATTCTTCTGATGTGAAGACAATTTAGGAGCCAAGCCCGCGACGTGCTTCTTCTGAGGCGAGATGGGCGAGATCAGGCGAGATGCCCCACGAGAAAGGAAGTCACGTGTGTACGCCGAGGGCTGGCCCGGCTGGCTTCCGGTTGAACCCGCCGAAATCGTGGGAGCGACTTTTCTCGGATCCAGTTCGAGATCTGGAGCGGGAGCTAATCCAAAATGGCCAGTGAAAGACGTCGGTCTCGATCCCGATCGCCGAGTGAAGTAGACTCGCTCCAGAAAAGTCGATCCCGGCGCGCTCCGAAACGACCAGTTGAATTCGCCATAAGGTAAAGTTGAAGCCAACTCGAACTCGGGGTCTTAAAGGGGCGGTGCAACCATTTTTGTAATTTGCTCAAATACCGCTTAGAACGAATCTCTGACGCTACTGACCTATGAAACACGCGTTTTGCTTTTCACCCCACGCAATAGGAGTCCCAGAGAAAAAAAAATTAAAGAAAAACGAGCAGCGTTCACACCCTCAACTTGCAGCCAGAACAAGCGACCACGTGATCTGGAGCCAATCATATGCCGCCATTGTTGATCATAGCCGCGCTCTGGGGTCGGCAAAGCACAGGACACGCGCTGAGTTCCAGACATGGTTCTGGCTCGGCTACTGTCGTCGTTGCAGCGATTGGACACGGGCCACTACCCGAGTGCTTCTCGAGCTAGTCATTATCACGAGCCCAAATCGAGTGCTCACGCAATGCTCGGGTCCAATCTATGCATCACATTCAAATATCGTTCATTTGGGTGTACTTCAATCCCCACTTTACGTCATCAAATTTTGCATTGTCCCCGCAGCTCCGTCATCAAGTTTTGCGAGGGGGAGACTGAAAGAAGAGGTCCGCTTTTATCCTTGGAATTCCACCGCAACGAAGACGCTTCTTGGTTAGCGACGTTGCGTTTGAGTATTCTTAGGGCCCACCAGTGCCAGTAAGATGTTGTAAAAAGAGAAACGTTCCCACCAAATATTGTTGCACAGCCCCCTTAATTACCACATTTCCATGTCTATTTCGCTAGTGAAAACTTTTTATTTTATTTTCACACGTCCGTGACTTACCCTTGTACCGCCAGAATGGACGTTTGTAGTATATAATTATCTTGATGGCGCGGCCTGCTTTGGAGCTTCGGATAAGCATGCTTCGCGGAGCGGTCAGAGGAGGATCGTAGTGTATCTGAAGCTGCATTGTTAAGGGAGCTGTCATGATGACGTACCCAGCCTGTAAAAAGTTTGGTTCGTGTACAGTTAACAGAAGGAAGCAGAATCGGCCATTGTAGAAAACTCACTTCGTACACATCGTTGGAAATATAAGCACTAACCGTACCGTCGCCTAGAACCGTCAAGAGATGGTTCCTCATTAGCACTTTGGTAGAGTAAGTAAGCTCTTTGATTCTGCTAGGGTGTTACGTCTGCTGGTTCTATTCTTTCTTATTTTACTATTTGATAATTTTTCGTGTCGTCCTGTATTGCGGATTTCAGTGCGTCCAACTTCAGCCAGCTCGTTCGCTTTCTCTCTCACTCTTGTTTTTTTTTTTTGTTTTTTTGTTTCTGTCGGTTTTGTTGACCTCGGCCTATCCTAGTTATGTTTTTCTTCGTAGCGGCGTGAAGTTGAAATCAAAGTTATGTTTATGGGAATGTGTTCGATCTCCCGAGGAACGAGACGTACAAAAAAGAAGTTGCCTCGGAAAGACTCGCGAATATTGATAGTTTCTAAGATATTGGTGATAATGCAATTAATGCAAACGCGCAAGCGAGCTGGACAAGAATGACGATACTAATCCCCGGAGAAGGAGAACAAGGGGGACAAAGAACAAACACAGATCTCCAAACACAACTAGGTGACTGGCGCGCGACCGAAAAAAATTCGCCTGGTCCTGGTATCCAACCAGGGACTTCTCCATTTTCAATGGAGCGCTCTACCAAATGAGCTAACCACAAGTTAGACGTCAGTAGAGCAAACGGTTTATATCGCCTGCCACCAGTCTAACACGAACAAGGGTGAACGGCCTGCATTTTAAGGTTATGATGATAATGCAATTAATGCAAAAATGCAAGCGAGCTGGACAAGAATGACGATAATAATCCCTGGAGAAGGGGAACAAGGGGGACAAAGAACAAACACAAATCTCCAAACACAGCTAGATCTTTATCCCTCGGGGTACCTGGACAAACGTGAAATCTTTCCAGGCTTACTAGTCTTTTCAAAATAAAGCTATTCCCAGTTTCACACTAAGTCCGATCGCAGTCGACGTTAGCCAACGTTAAGAGAACAACTCAGTTGGGAAACTGCCAATGAGCCTGCTTTCAAAAAAGTGGCTTCGATCCGTACTCGAGAACCGAACTAATAGCGATCGCAACGCCGCCATTTCGCCGGTAGCGGCCACTCCTGGAACTACACGTCTGCACGCATACCTCCAAAATACCAAAGCGCGCGAACGCGCGCGCGCTTCGGAAGGCCACGTTCTAGCCATATGCTGTACGTATCGGTTCAAGTCGAGTCGCGCAAGGGCCTGTGGCGCCATTTCGCAGTGCCATTTCGCAGTAACATTATAAATTAACTTTCATGTTTTAACTAGGTGCTAAAGGGTGGCTCTGTTATTGTATTTAGTTTGGTCTCGGTCAACGTTACAAGAACACTCAGTTGGGAAACTCGCCGTCGAAACCTGGGCCGCCGGCGTCCACCGAGACCGAGCTAAATACGACAACAGCGCCACTCTTTATCATTTGTCTGTACTGTGGTCACATTGAGCTTTTAGAAAGCATGTTTTTTGTTAAAAGCAAATGAAAAAGACTCTTTTTGTATGATTTTTTTTTTTAGTTTAGTACAAAATGAAGGGCGCGTGATGTTTTTATAATCTTTAGTTTGCAAGGTTTTGCGGAACAATTAATATTATTTTTATACAACCATGCCTCAGCGGTGCTTTCAGATAGCGCGCCCCGACCTAGGTGCATTTTAACTTCGGTAGTAATTCGCGGCGCTTCCGCTGGGAAGACGGGGGTGGCACCCCTGTAACCTCTTCCGCTGTATCTGTTTCGGCGCCAAAATGGCCGATTAAAGCCAAAATAGAAGTAACGTGCAGTTTCTCGAGTGGCCGCTGCGGGAAAAATGGCGGCGTTGTGTTCGCCATTAGCTCGGTTCTGGAGGACAGAACAGATCGGGGCCACTTCTTCAGGGCCGTCTCTATGGCAGTTTCCCAATAACGGAGTGGTTCTAGTAACGTTGGTCTCGGTGGATGCGAGCGGCATGGGCTTCGAGGTTGAGTTTCCCAACTGAGTGTTTTAGTAACGTTGGCGTTAGGCGATCGTCGTCTGTGCGCGTTTTCGATCACCAGCTAAACCAATCACGCAGAGAAAAAAAAAAATGTCACGGGGCATTCACTGCGCGTGATTGGTTTGGCTGGGGAATAGCAAGCGCTCACAAACGACAGTTGCCGTGACGATGCGGTTCTGGTGCAGCTTGACTGGATCCATCGGGTCGCCGTCCGCTACGCTCGGATTTTTAATGAAAGTACGTTATCAAAAGTCTCGGAGAGTAGAGAACGTATAGGCGTCGCTGTCGCTGCGGCGTCTCAACATGTGTGGCATGCTTGAGTTCTTGTCGACTAAACCCGTTTTCACCTCACCACTATAGGATCACTATAGGATCGCGGCAGAGAATGGGTGTGACGTAATAATATTAATAATTAATAAACAAATAAACCTTTATTTCTATTTAAATAAGGAAATGGTGAAGGAAAACGAGAAGAAAAAAAGTTTCAACGAGAAGCTTGACTGGCACTCAGCCCCATCGGCAGCCATTGAACGACAGTTTTCGGGCAAGGAAAACAAAGAACAAATGTAAACGGAAGTGAATAGCAGATAGGAGACACATAAAATTATAATACGTAAAAAGATGCTGCGCAACTCTCTAAAAACATTGTTTCTAAATTTCAGGTTTTTTTTTTTTTTTTTTTGCTCCAAAGCTGTTTAGAGGTTTGGATATAAGTACCGAATCATTTGCTGCCCATAACTTTACCATAATTTGATGTGGGAACCTTCCAATATTCATTTGGTAGGTCCAGTAAACCGTTCTCTTTTTTCTCTCTAATGCAGCTATCTCGTGTAAAAGAACACGTCCTCTTTTTGTTTTCATTCTTAATGGTGATTAGAAGTATATAATCAGATAGGTCATGAATTTTTAACATTTGGAAGTCACTAGACATGGTCTCAGGGTGAGAGTCATCTCATAAGGTGCATTAAAATTAACTCCCAAAAAAATGTTTTTTTTTTTATTTTTTTTTAACAGGTAAGTTTTGATTAGGTTGGATTCCGTGGTTACGTCCCAGACAAGGTTGCAGTACCTCAGTGGCGAATAAAACAAAGCATTGTAAATAATAATTTTAACGCGAACTGGTAGAATTTGGCTGTGGCGCTATGGTAAACCAACAACACGTGACAATTTGGAAATCAAATAATTTACATGGCAATCCCAAGACATATTTTCAAAGAAAAAAGAGACACCAACTGTTCTAAACTATTCACGATCTCGATCGAACTCGAGCCAAATGCCATAAGCATTGACATAGATTTTTCTTTATTTTTCGGACGAAAGAAATAGCTCGTTGCCTTTCAGTGTTAAGACTAAGTCCATTTTACCTTGCCCAAGCCGCCAACCTTGACAAAGTAAAATTAGCAGCATCCACACGTTCATCACCACCTTGCGATCGAGGAAACACATAACGACGCGGTAGGCAGAACAGTCAGAATATCAATCCGGACACCATGACAGAGGACTCACCCGATACGTGAAGTGGCCGTTGGCTACGGTTACGCTGACTCCATCCTTGTCCTGTGCCAAGCCACAGACTTTGACGCCAAAGTGTATGCCATCTGTGTACGAGGAAAACGAAGAAAGATATATCTGAAACAATGGTACATACCGGGATTATTCTGGCTCGAGATGGCGATCTCTGCTTCAAAGCTGAAGCCCCAATCGCTTGTCCATGTCAGATGACTCAGAAGTCATGTTTCTTCTAGTCCAGTGAACGGGGCTGTGTCTCTTTAGGTCCTCGCTTTACTTACTGCGTCGCTTACAATGAACATCATTTGCAGATTTTAAGTGTGCTTTCCAGTTGTTATGTCTTATTAGAAAGACATCAGTTTATTCCGCTCTCCGAAAATTGCTGGATATCGCCACCTTGTAGCTGAATGTTGTCATTAGATCGGTGGTCCTCAATAGATTCAATTGGTTGGGAAAATCACATGGAGCACATTTTGCTATACGTGTCTAGCATATGGACATGAACGTAAAGCTTACAAAAATTACATGCAATATTTCAACCAAAATTTTGATCTTATTTCTTTCATCATCACTGTCATACCTCGACGCCCTAGCATGTGTTTTATTTATTTCTTTTCATCTTATCAATATTAATAATTTTGTTGATCGTCTTTTCCTCCCTTTTTTCCCACCCTTAAATGGAGACGCTTTTTAGAGCCTACGTTTCAAACTAAACTCTCTTTCATATTAATAATAATAATAACAAAATGTATATTTCTCTCTGGCTAGAATAAAGAACATTCTCGTTTTTATTTGTTTACGCCTTGCAGCTATAGCTTGATTAAAAGACGGTAGTAGATACAGTACCTTTTAGGAGTTGGTGTAGTTTTTCGCTGACGCTCATTGCTCCAGTAAGAAACTTTTTCTCCTAGAAAAGACAAAACAAAACTTCTGCTTTTGTGTTTCGATAAAAAAAAGAAAAAGAAAGACGTTTACAATTTTTGTGCAATGCCGAATTAGAGCGCAGCTCTTGAGGAGGAGGAGGGGAGGCTACGGAGGGGAGAGTTTCCCCTCCGTACCCTCCCCTCTCCCTCCTCAGCGGGGAAATTTAGAGGGAACATTTCCCCGCCAAATTTAGCAAAGAAAGTTTCACGCAGCGGAACAATTTTTCCGGGTTGAGTGGGGTCACGTGTGACGTCACGTGGAGCCGTGTTTCCTATTTCCCGTGTTTCCTATAATGACGTCACGCGCGACGTCACGTGTGACGTCACGAGGGTATACCGTCGTGACAGATAAGTCAATACCACAATTTGTTTTCTTAAAACGCTACAATTTTTCAATTTTTTAAAATTTCTTTAGATGTAAAAAAAACTTTATTTTTTCTAATTTTTGTTCATAATTGTATTTTATTTTCTTTCTCTAGTCTCATTTCCCCAGTCCTGCTTTTCTTTATAGCTTTTCACAAGAAAAAATAATATGTATATACAGTGAAACCCGTTTAGAACGAACCCACGTACAGCGATTTATTGTCGATATCGAACTCACAGAAAAATTAAATAAAAATGTATGTAAACAGTACTTTTTATAACGAACAACATAATGGCTATATCGAACTTTTCCCTCCGGGAAGGCTTCCAAAACGCGCAAACAATCGTCTTCTAGCCTGTCCCTTCCCTCAAAAAAGAAGTATAGAAAGAAAAAAAATTTCAAATGCTCAAGTTGCGAACAAAATTGAGCGCAGAGAAGCGATTCAGAAGAGGAGAAAGCTGAAAAATACACTGCACGCACGGAACACACACACACACACACACACACACACACACACACACACACACACACACACACACACACACACACACACACACAAAAAAAAAACTTCTCATCTCAAAGGTTTGCTCACGAAGAAAAGCGATTCAGAAGGGGAGATAAGCTAAAAAAACAAAATCTGCACGCATGCAAAAAAAAAAAAAAAAGTTTTAGCGCGGGCTTACAAGGCAAAAGTGAAGAGGTGAGGACGAGAGGGAAGCTCTCGCCTTACAACGAACACATCGTGGAAGTTCGTTGTAAATGGTTTTTGCTATATCGAACTACTTGCTATATCGAACTGATCGTAGTGTTTCTTGCTGTTCGTTATAAACGGGTTTGACTGTATATATATATTCCTTTTTTTTAGTTTCCTTGTCTTCACAGAAACCTTCCTCCTCCTTTTCTATCACAAAAAAAAAGTCCAGGTTTGTTTTCCTGTTTTACATAAAACAAAAAAACAAAAAAACGCCAGTTGATAGTAGCGCTTTGTTCTGTCCTGTTCTTCTACTTGTCCGTGTCTTTTGCGCTCTTGTCCTCTATAATGCATTACCAACTAGCCCAGCAGTTAATTCTGATGCGTAATGTCCTATTGCAAGTGAATACGAACGCGAAAGAAGCTAACACTAGAAAAGTAATGTTCTATTGAAAGAAAACTTTCTGACCGGATGAATCGATCAATCAATCTGTCACGTTTAAAAAAACGCATCGAGTGAATAGGCACCATTGTATAGCTTTAATAATATAAATCAATTTAATATGATTTAAATCAAATAAATCTAATTGATTTCATAATAAAAAAATCACGATTGTTTTTCCGTTTGGTACGTTGATTATCAATCCAAATCAATGTGCACTAGCTTCGGCTATTGTCTTTATGTATGTACGACTGCAGGGCGATTGTGCTCTGACCAATAGTTGGTGACATGTTAAGAGTCCCATGGGAAACTTCTCGCACCCCTTTCCACCGTCTTTCTCGACACTTCAGTGCGGCATAAAGGTAATTACAATTAGCCGCCACTATATACAGGCGAAGTACTCCGTGGATCTGTCTTCACTCATCGCAAATGCCGGCGGCGATGGTCTACCTGAGCGCCGCCGTCGATGCTGCAAATCCTCCGGACTCCTCCGCAGCACTTGATGCTCCAGAGCGCCCAGAGGAGGGAGATCTCATGAGGTTCGCAGGCAAACTCGGCTCGTGCTACAGCCATGAGGAAGCTTAATCCGCTCCTGCGAGTGACGGCGCTTTTATGAGTTCACAGCGTACGGCCGTGCGGTGTACGTGATAGTCAACGGCAACTTGAGAACGATACGGTGACAGAATAAAAACGTCAGGCAGGTCTTTCAACGTCCCACTTCTAGCGCGAGCTTCATAGCTTGGGTCATAGACTCCTCTGTACTCACAAAGCCTGGAAGTTCGACAACGCAGCCCAGTCGCAGATTTGAAGCGCGAGGATCTGGTAGCACAGGGCATCAAAGAGCCATTTCTCGAGGAACCATGGACGTCAGCGCACACCGTTTGCAGCGGAGAGGACCCGAAACACACTTGTTCGCTCGGGAGAAGTGTGTTTAGGCGTCTCGCCGCAGCGGGGCGCCAGTCACGTGGCTTTCCTCATCCGATATGTCTGCCGCTCCACTTTTTCCATTTCGGCGGTGGCTTTTCGTGTCGATCTGCCAGGCTTTGCCAGTATATAGGAGACTATACTTGGGTAATACTTCGGCGTTTCGTGAGCTTCGAGCATGGGGGTGCAGTCAAAGCACGGCGGAAGGCGACGAGAGCTTGCTGGGGCTCGGGGATCCGAAAAAGGCGCCCTGCCGTTTTCCTCCAGTCAGTAATTACAAAAAAGGAGGGCCCTCTCCTGCGTAAAACTTGCGAACAACGTTGCACGTACGCGGGAAATAAACGGTGTTTACTTGAAATAAATTTAGAATACGCCAATCAGTCAACAAGCGAGTAGAACTTTAGAGTAAACGGACGTATAGTTAGTGGAGAACTAGAGATCATTGTATAGTATATCTATATATATCGTACTTTGTCCAAGTTTTCTGTTCAAAGAACACCTGCAGGGTGAGGCCGTCCCATTCTTGAGCATGTCTGCAGTTCCAAGGGTCGACGCACGGGATCTACAAAGAACGAGTTCGTTATCGATTGCGTCGCGTGGGGCAACAAAAAACATTTTTCATATTGTTATAGGTAACATGCGCGAGCATATCGTAATCATGTGTCCGGTTTATGCCTTTTCTCGGTTGGATCAGCATGGCACTGAATATTTTCAACCTTTCACCGAACTGCCCTCAGCCGGGTCTCTTTATCTTCTTGACTTGAGAGACTCACGTGGTTCTCTAGTCAGGGAGGGGGAAAAAAGAGGGGGGGGGGGGGGGCTTGATTATTCTTTTTTTTTTTTATCTTTTTTTGCCTACGCCACTGGTCTACGTTGCCCCTACTATCGTGCCCTCGCAATAAATTATAATATAATTTTGCAATCTCAAGTGCGAAAAGACAACACAAAAACTATCGGAAAATTCATATTAACCATGCATAGCAGAGTGTTTCAGACAGTCTACGTGGCGATACGAGATGCAAAGCGAAGACCTCTTGTAAACGTTTGCGCACCTCTTTCATCATCGCTTCCATCTCGTGTACGACGAAGTTGATGTCGAACCAGGCGAGAGGACTTCGCCAGCCGAATGTCGGCCATGAACCGCTTAAAGAAAAAGCTCTTCCCTGAAAAGAAAGAAAAGAAAGAAAATGCATTTTGTACTAAAGTATAAACGTTGTGAAATAAAATTACAATGTAGACAACGACTGGCACTTTAAAAACCACTCAGCGTAGTTTCTTTTTTTTTTTTTTTATGTGCCGCGTTTGCTCGTGCAGGAGGCAACAGCATCCACTTCCACGTAGATCTTGAGTGAAGAAGGCCAGCAGATGAGCGGACGCAAGTAACATTTGGACTTGGGAACATCAAAGAAATACCTAACGAAATAACAGTGAGTGTGCAGGCCACCTGGTGATTATGAATGATAATATAACACCTGAGACTGTGGTGCGGGAAAATGAGGAAACATTGAAGTCGAAGAAAAGACAAGAGTAGGAGACGTTCTCCGACTATTTCTGCTGTATTCGACTTGAAAAGTTTCCTAGTTTTCCCGCATCACACTCTCAAACGTTACTTATATATATAAAAGTTGACGCATTAAAAAAAATTGTATTTTTTTTTTTGTAAGCCAGATGTTTGGTTTTTTTAAACGCTTACCTCGCTGAAGTGAATGCTTTTGAAATCGGAGAATACACTGTAAGTCTGGATACCCAGCTCGCGCGACAGTCTGAGGATATGGTTCTGCGTAGGACCCACGTACGAGCCCCCGAGGTCTACCCAACCCACGGCAGGGTCCTGCAATAAAGAACAACAATAAGGACAACAACGGCAACGGCAACGACAACAAGAACAACGACTACAACAACAACAAAAACAACGACAACAATAACAACAACAACAAAAACGTCGAAAATGAGCCTGCTTTTGAAAATTAGCTAATTTTGCATTGCTCCCAATTGTCAGCAAATGATGACTCGTTAGTCAACGTTTGTTGAAAGCGCAGACCTAAAAAGCCAGACCCTCCCGGGTTTCTTAAGTTGTCGGCGTCCATATCCTGTTTTTTTTTTTTTTTTTTTTTTTTCTAAAGCTGCCGTACCTTTAGGATGCTGTGAGTTCGTCCCCCAACCCTTTCTCTCGCTTCCAAGACAAGAACGTCGATTCCTTTTTCTGTCAACAGCTTGGCGGCGCAGAGTCCTGCGCAAAAATCAATAAACGCGGTGCGTATTCCCAATTTACTGTTTCCAAAAGATCAGAGAAACGGGTGAGCAAGGACGATAAACGATCGTGGTTACACCCGCACCGCTATATAATACACAATTCTGCAAAGACTTTCTGAGGCGTGTTTTCTTTCTTGTTGTACGACGGTACGGTCACGCATTGGTTGTACGGAGCGCAAGTTCGTCTGCTACTTTTGCAGGGATTACGCCGAGCTCTGATTGGAACTCTGATCGAAGGATGGTGAATAGACCTCGAGGAAACATGTCTTAAGGTCTACCCACTATCCTTTAATCAGAACCAATCAGAGCTCGGCTTTCTGACGTCACCATAACCCCTGCAAAGGTAGTAGACGAACTTGCGCTCCGCATAGAAAAACTCTCGGAAGATACGTTCGAATCATACATATGCGTACAAAGCAAAACATACGGTCGAACATGCTTGAGTCGTGCCCGCAGATTATGCGGAGAGCAAGTCGTCTGCTTGTTGCGGAGGATTGTGGTGACGTCAAAACGACACCGAGTTTTGATTGGCTTTGATTGGAAGGATAGCGGGTAGACATCAATGCTAGCTGCCTTGAGGTGTACCCACTATTTCTTCAATTAGCCAATAAGAGCTCGGCGTCGTTCTGTCGTCACAGCAACTCCTGTGCGAGAAGCAGACGAACTTGCGCTTCGCATTCTGTCATCGTGTCTGCAGCTAATACCGTACATATTTTTTTGGTACGATGTAGGAGCAGTACCGCCAACATATACTTATTAAAAGTAAAATAAAGACGAAAATACCGATGTCGCGTTTGTGCTAACATTGTCGCGCACTGTATGCATACAAGTGATGACCAGCGCGACGACGAAGAATCAAGGAACTCACCTCCCATTTCACACATGTCGCGACAAGATGGCTCTCGCGCGCAACGCCCTATAAATAGGGTGTTCTTTAAATGTCCCGTATTCATACTCTGAGAGGGGGAAACGATCCTAAATTGTTCTCCGAACTTGTGCTTAAAAAAAAAAAAAAATCTAATTTTTAAAACCTCATTTTGTAAAATACAAAAACAAAAAGAAGAAAAACTAGTTTTAAGTAAGCTCAAAGGTTGGAAGTTTTCGTTAAAGCCCGACTACGCTCGATAAATAGTCGAATACATTTCAAATCAGGTTAAGATAAGAAGCTTGATTTTGTTGGTCATAATTCAGGAACTAGGTGTACACAACATTGAATAAACATGCAGATGTCATATTTGTATTCTTTCAAACCAAGTGTCATGGAAAAAAAAATTAGTAGGTGCATGTAGAACTCATAGACTAAACGTTTAATGTGGCGAACTCGTGCCGACAAACTAAAAGAGGCAAGCACCGGGCATCCTGCGTCGGCGACGGAAAGGCGACGGTTTAATAGGGCGAACTTGCGCCGACAAACTAAAGTATAAAAGTACCACGCATCCTGCGCCGGCGACAAAAGGGCAACTGTCCCGAAACATTTAAACAGTTAATTATTTTTATTTTAACGTCATCAGGTCAGGGATGTTCAGAACCAGAACACACGATGACAGACGAGAATGATCTCGAACATTCCAGAAGAGTACAGAACTATAGACGGCTTTAAACACGCGCCGGAATGAGCCGCCATTACCGACCTTCTCTTATCTTACCAAGACCCAGAGCAGTCGCGTCGGAACAAAGGGGAGGGGGCGCCCCCCTCCCCTCTTGATAGTTTAGAAATTCAATGGAAACAATACGCGAAAGGAGCCGCAAAATCAACGTCCCCCCCCCCCCCCCCCCTCCCCATCTTCTGAATAGTTCCGACGGCTTTGATGCAGAGCCACTGAAGCGGGAGTTCATAAGCCACCACAAAAGCCTATGCTTAGGAGAAGGGCACAATATAGCACCTAAAGTGGCAATAACCTGTGCCGCTGTGGTAATGATGAAATGAAGCAAACGGAGTAATTGCGAACACAAACTGAAGGTCGGTTATGGCGGCGCCCACACCCAGCTGCCTGAAAGCGTCTATAAAACGAATATCCGGGCCGAGCAGGGTTCGAGCACCGTTCCTCCACGTGGCAGCAGCATGAAGGCCCCTACGCGCAGTTGCGTTTGACGGCGTTGAGGCTGCGAGAAACCTGGACATCCCTGCTTCTTATGTGCCAAGCTATGCCTTGAATTTGATTCCACGCTTCAAACGGAGCATGCCAGTGATTCGAGTTAGTTTCTCGACGTAACGAAGTCAAACGCACTCAGACGCTGTCAAACGCAACTGTGCGTAGGATCCTTTAGTGGCCGCCTCTGCACGCGAGTGTCGAAGAAAAGGCCGATTTCGGTCAGCAGATTATAAAATTATAATAGGTGCAAGTAAATTATCTAAAAAGAACTGATAACTGAACAAGAACAGACATTTGTAAATTTCTTTTTAAACTTGCCTTACGAATGAATCGCATACGCCGATTTCGGGGCAGGGGATTACTCTCCCCAAGATTTACAACCCAGATTTAATTTTAACATTCGCCAATCACACTTTGTACAATAGGAGAGCGCTGAGCGAGGACACAAATCGACCGTATATTGTTTATTTGTGGGGGGATTTCGTTGTTGAACTGTGTACTAACAAACAGCTGAAGAAACACAGGACGTGGTCTGCTAGGTTTCTTGCTTCGTGATTCGTTTTTGGGCCTACATTGAATTATGTTGCACGAAATTAATTTTAATTAATTACTTAAAAAGGGCCGAATAATTTCCCCACGCATGTCGAACGTAGCTGCTAAAATTATCAATCATTGGAAAACAATTGGTACATTAACTAATTACAAATATACTGCGATATTGTCACTTTGAATTGCACTTAGCAGTCCGAACGCTGTAATCAATCAGCTGTTCAAGCTTTTCAAACAAGCACGCGAGGCAAAATTAATTTTAATTATTTATTGTTCAAGAAACTGTATTCATGGCTAAATAATTTTACCACGCCTTGTTGAACGTAGTTGCTAAAATTAACAATCATGGGAAAACAATTGCTACACAAATTAACTACAAAAAACATTGTGATATTTCACTTTGAGTTGTGCTAGCAGTCTCAACGTTGTAATTAATCAGCCGTTTAAACCTGCCAGACAAACACGCGAGGCCGTAGTTTTACCTGTCTTCCCGCATCTACGAACGCAACTTTCCACACAAATAAGGCCGTATTCAAAATCCGATAGCCGCACACTTACCATGAATAACGAGGCTCTTTCTGTAGTGCATGAGACTCACATATCTCCGCGTCAAACGAACTCTTCGAACGGGCCATCGCGACTCTCATCGTGGCTGACTTTTAACGAGGACATCACGGCAGAACTAGACAAAAACAGTTTATTCCCTAATTCGGGCAACCAGACCACTCTCCATCTGACTTTACACAACAAACCGCGAACGTATTGTGATTAGTACCGCAACATTGAAACGTGCGCAAACTGGCGTGAGCGACGCTGTACCCTTCAAGGTGGAGGCGAGGGCTAGTTGCCTTTCCGTGCAGCACATGGTGCTGTTTTATTTAGAGGGTCTGTAGCAATACATTGGAAATAGAATCAGGCTGATTCAGGCTCATCCGTTATATTGGTTACATACACCAACAAGCCGCCCTGACGTCCTACCTCTGCGGTGGCGTTGCTATCGCCACGGCGCATGTGCACAAGCCTCATGTCACGCGGTTCTGGGTTCTGCGCACGCGCTGCAGTGCCCGCATTTAGCGGGGGCAAACGCTGACTTGTTTGTAAACACTGCAGCGTGTCCGCCTATTCGCGGCGAGAAGTTTGGGTATCGGCGCTTGGTGGAATGTTTTCACGAACCAGATTGAGGATACTTCAACTTCTTCCGCTGGTGTAAGCACGCGCAATGCCAAGCTTTTATGCACTATGCAGATTGAAACATAACCGCGTGGGTTGCACGTGCACTACCCAGAGTGAGGATGAGTGAGGAAAACAAAAGCGCCCCTAGCGAGCTTCTCACCGCAAATATAATTCTAAGCCGCGAACGCAGCGAAGGCAGCACGCGCGGTTCCGCCGAAGCAGCCCTGAAACGACCAACTTACGGAAAATAATCTCCGGAGGAGGGGAACAAGAGGGAAAGAGGACCAACACAAATATCCAAACACAGCTAGGTGACTTGTGCGCGACCGAAAAAATCCGCCTGGTCCGGGTATCGAACCCGGGACCTCTCCATTTCCAGTGGAGCGCTCTCTAACTGAGCTAACCTGGGGTTAGACGTCAGTAGAGCAAGCAGGTTTTATCAGCTGCCTACAGTCTAACACCAACGAGGGTGAAGGCTTGCTTTTTAAGGTTATGATTATAATGAAATTAAATGCAAAAGTGCAAGCGAGCTGGACAATAATGACGAAAATAATCCCCGCGGAGAAGGGGAACAAGTGGGACAGAGGACCAACACAAATATCCAAACACAGCTAGGTGACTTGTGCGCGACCGAAAAAATCCGCCTGGTCCGGGTATCGAACCCGGGACCTCTCCATTTCCAGTGGAGCGCTCTCTAACTGAGCTAACCTGGGGTTAGACGTCAGTAGAGCAAGCAGGTTTTTATCAGCTGCCTACAGTCTAACACCAACGAGGGTGAAGGCTTGCTTTTTAAGGTTATGATTATAATGAAATTAAATGCAAAAGTGCAAGCGAGCTGGACAATAATGACGAAAATAATCCCCGCGGAGAAGGGGAACAAGTGGGACAGAGGACCAACACAAATATCCAAACACAGCTAGGTGACTTGTGCGCGACCGAAAAAATCCGCCTGGTCCGGGTATCGAACCCGGGACCTCTCCATTTCCAGTGGAGCGCTCTCTAACTGAGCTAACCTGGGGTTAGACGTCAGTAGAGCAAGCAGGTTTTATCAGCTGCCTACAGTCTAACACCAACGAGGGTGAAGGCTTGCTTTTTAAGGTTATGATTATAATGAAATTAAATGCAAAAGTGCAAGCGAGCTGGACAATAATGACGAAAATAATCCCCGCGGAGAAGGGGAACAAGTGGGACAGAGGACCAACACAAATATCCAAACACAGCTAGGTGACTTGTGCGCGACCGAAAAAATCCGCCTGGTCCGGGTATCGAACCCGGGACCTCTCCATTTCCAGTGGAGCGCTCTCTAACTGAGCTAACCTGGGGTTAGACGTCAGTAGAGCAAGCAGGTTTTTATCAGCTGCCTACAGTCTAACACCAACGAGGGTGAAGGCTTGCTTTTTAAGGTTATGATTATAATGAAATTAAATGCAAAAGTGCAAGCGAGCTGGACAATAATGACGAAAATAATCCCCGCGGAGAAGGGGAACAAGTGGGACAGAGGACCAACACAAATCTCCAAACACAGCTAGGGGATTGGTGCGCGACCGAAAAAATCCGCCTAGTGCGGGTGTTGAACCCGATACCTCTTGTCCAGCTCGCTTGCACTTTTGGATTTAATTGCATTATAATCACTTCGGTAGCTCACCGCTTAGCCCGGCACCTACGATGACGATGCTTGTCTCGTAGGCACACTGCGGCGTCACAAACTCGGACATGTTGCGACGCAGGCACACTCTACTATCTCCGCTGCATTCGGACTGCGAAGGCGTGTAGCACAAATGCGAGCGAGTGTGCATGCCCGGCTGCGCGGATGTTGTCTAACGCTATGCACTTTACTATACAACTAAAAGAAAGATACTTAGGTAGTGGTGGACACCTGAAAGCTGTCGACAGGGTCGGAGCGATCACGTGCGCTTTTGTTTGGCATTTTCTGGGGCGCCATAAAACACCGTGAAACTTCTCGGGTCAGTCGTGGCACGCCTAATGTTTGTTTGATTGTTTGTTTTTCTTTTCTTTCCCAATTTATATTTTCTTTTCTATGTTTGCGCTAACTTAACCTTTCGCTGCGGAATGGTGCGCAGTACTTGTGCAGCCCTTGAGGAAATATGTATTTTTACAAATATATTTTTTTGTATAATTTTGCCACATGCAAGTTCAGCGGCCTCGATTTAGTCTCTTATCTGATAGATGCCCCATATAGTTTTGACGCCGGAAATGTATGGTTTGCGCATGCAGCTTTCATATACAACTGGAAACAGCTTTTACCATGGTTCCGCAAAGCTTTATTTGTGCAGGGAACCGGCCCACTCGCCACCGAAAAACTTGTCAAGGCAGAGCTGGTAACAGCGGCCCTCTGAATTTAGGCCATATCGTCGCAGGAAAACTCGGCACTGCTCGACACTCTATATGGCTTTTTTTTCACATAATTACACACAAAACAAATCTTGAGATTGTTGTTGGCCCTGTTGCGCTATGAACTTGAACACGAACTCTTGTGCTATGAACACGAACTGTGCTACAAAAATGAGGTGCGGAAAATCGTGCTGGCTCAAGTTCCACCACTCCAGAGGGTCAAATAAATTCAGTCTTCTCGATCTACTTGTAGGTCAGTGGCGTAGCCAGGAATTTTTTTCGGGGAGAAAGGGGGGGGGGGGGGGGGCGGGGGGCTGAGATGGCTGGGATGTTCATGACTTGGGGTAAGAAGGGGGGGGGGGGGAAGGGGAGTGGGGGGTGAAAGTTTATATATTGTAGGGTCGGCTGGATTTCGGGGGGGGGGGGGGGGAAGCTGAAGCCTCACCCCTCACCCCCCCCCCCCCCCCCCCCTCCGCGGCAAGGCCCTTGTTTTAGGTGAAGAAGCTGCTTGCAGGCTTCTAATTTGTTGTGGCTTTTACGTTTTGGGTTTTCTTGGCATAAAGAAAGTTTTCCGCTCTTTCCTGCCACACAGGAACACGCTTTCCCGGGAAGACTGATGCTGCTCCATTCTTTACTTTTTCTAGAGACAGCATTTCTGGCGAGATAGAAAGTTCTAAAGCGATCTTTGTTGAGAATCAAATCTTTCTTGACGTAGAGAACAATTTTCTCCCCAATGGGCGCCTATTATCTAAGAGGTTAGTTTGCTGATGTACTTCATAGTATCACTCACTTGTTCACTCTACACTGAGTTAAAACAGTTCGTGTTCACAAAGCCAACAACAATCGCAAGATTTTCTTTTTGTATAATTATGTGAAAAACGTTTTAGAGTGTCGTGCAGTGCCCAGTGCTCCTGCGACGAAATGACCTAGATCTAGAAAGCCTGTGTTACCAGTTGTCCTGCGACAAGTGACGACGTGCTTTTGCAGCAATGCTGGGCTGCAACAGTGTGGAAGAGCTACGCTATATCCTTACCGGAACACAGTTCCGGTGACGAACGTCGACACGCTCGTAACACAATTACACAAGCTCAATAACACAATAATTATACTCAAAATAAAAATAGGTATAATACATGTATAAATAAATATGTATTTCGTTTCCAATTCAAAGGTGGTAACTGATTGTTTCAGATATTAACTAATCCTATAACAAAACCGAAGTAAATTAACATTTTTCGGGAAAAATATTACACGTCGTGTTTTACAAAAAGTGATCCAACGAGTTATCCCTGTCCTGTATTCGGAATGACAAGAATTCGTCCTACTAGATAACCTGTGATAAGCTGGTCTACCGGACGAGTTCACATATGACCAGTTGGCCTTTGATGGCTGGGCTTGTGACGAGCTCTCCTAGATCTACTTGTGCAACATGAAGTCTCGATGTCAGTTGCCATTGTTGAAAGCTGTTCTTACAGTTCCGCCACATGTTGCAGGGGGGCAGGGGAAGTGGCCGCACGAGGATGATGATAATGACGATGAAACAACAACAACAACAACAACAACAATAAACAACAACAGTATTTGAAATACAGGCACAAGTCTGGAACGCCCAGCTCTGATTGGAAAGTTTAGTGGGTAGACCTTAAGCTAGCCGCCTTTGCCTCCCCTTCACTCGTCGAACGCTTTCGAATGCGAAGGCCCAACGCCGGATGCCTGCGTTCCGCGTTCTAACACGTTCGACGAGTGCTAGTGGGGACGAAAGGCAGCTAGCTTTAGGTCTACCCACTAATCGTTCCAATCAGGGCTCGGCGTCCTCGTCCCCGGGCACTCTCGTCTGCCCCTCAGTTTCTCGGCGCACAGACCTAATGTTAAACTACCTCAAGGAAAATTCTGAGAATGTAATTCCACGCGCCGCACGCCGCTCGCCTTCCCCGTATAAAAGATTCAAAGTAAATAACCAAAATAAGGCGTTGCTGAACGCGCGTGCAAGATGCCATTTGTTTTAGGTTTTTGCTTTAGAACAGTTGCTAGTGCAGACGCCAGCACTCGGAGCGCGCGTAAACTACGCTCGCAGCATGCCCCTTGGTGCTTGAGTAATTTAGCAATAGTCCTCCTGCGTTGCCCACGAGAGGCGCTGCGAAAAAGCACTTGTAAGGATTTGTTTTGGGTAGTACCAACGAGGTAGAGGGCCTTAAAGCAAAGCTAATGGGCATTCCTGTACTCAATGTATTTATGAAGTAATATTTAGCGCTTAATGCCATAAATACTAAGAAAAAAAGAACACTGTAACTGTTAGAATCTATTTCTAATGTTGGAATCATCGCGACATTTTATTCTTTTAGAAACAGTGGATAATACAATAAGAATGTATTACAGCGCTCGAGAGCTCACCACTTAGTCCGGCACCTATGATGACCACAGCGCTCTTCCGGACGCAGGGGACCTCTTTTGTGTTGGTCGTTGGAAGCATGATAGTCCCAAAGTAGTCTTCCGCTCCGGGGACTTCAAGCGGTTACGATGAAATGAGCGGTGCTGTCGCTCTGGTGCCAATTAGTGTTCAGCGCGCTTGGCAGGATAGTGCTGGTACCAGCTGTTCGGCATTTACTATCCTCTGAATTTTTCAATATCGCAGACTTGCTCTTTTTTTATGCGTGTGCGAGAGCTTTGCCCGATGAGTTGGGGCAAATAATAATTTAGTGTTTTCGTTTTCAATTTAGTTTTCACTTGTACTGCGATATTGTTTCACCAGCCAATTCATCAGCAAGTCAACCGACACGGCCAAACAAAGTAGTGATGCTGATAGTGATAATATTCTGCTCTCGGTCTCTTCTTACTTACAGTCTTCGAAGCGGAGTTCGCATTCGTTAAAAAGTACTACGTGTGTCTGTGTTTTATTTTAAATGTGGTAGCAGTTTTAAAAACATAATAATAGTTCCTCTTTAACATTCTATTTATCGTATTATTTGCGGCTGAACTTGTCGAAACATACCTCCTGTCTTCAAAATGCCGCGTGCTTAACGAAAAATCAAGCCTAATATTTTCTCGCGAGAACTAACAGAAATAAGATCGATATCGTGTTGATCACTGTAAATGGGTATTTTTTTTAAAGAACACCACGTTTAGGACAGTTAAGGTTATGTTTAGGTTTACATATTTAAATTGTTGAGTTGTCAATAATAAACATGGCAATTTACTTTTAAATCGTGTAAAAAACTAATTATTCAAAGACGTAAAAAAGTATAATTATTGATTAGAACGAAACTAGAAATCATATTTATGGTAAATATTTTATTTCTCCAGTTTTTGACTTCAAAGGGACGGCGAAGATGGCTTTTGAAATTCGGGCAGTAATCTCAGGTGGCACATTTCAGTTGTTTCGCCAGGCTCAGATATCTATAGCACGGCAAGAAGACTTTGTACATATGGTTTTTGGAACTGCAGAGAAAAGGCACATGACAACAAACATGTTTTTTTTTATTAAAAATGCCTTGTTTTTTCTTTTTTTTTACAAAAGCTAGAACTTTGTCTTTCTGAAGTTTAAGGGGGGAGTTTAAGCGGCGACGACAATAACAATGTGGCTCGTGAAACGAGCCACGTTAGCAGCGCGCGCCGCGTGGGCACTCGCAGCACTCCAGGCTGGCTAGTTCGAGAGGGATCATCGATACCAGCCGGCTCCTTTGATCAACGGCAGAGCTCCCGGACCATCTACTACCCCTTCCAGGCGTGTAAATAAATGAAGGGGCCAATTTGACCACTTAAAACCCATTTACTCACTGGGAGGATGAGTAGGGCGTGGAAAGTCCTGGGCGCCATCAACTGATAAAAACACCAAAGAAGAAAAAAGAAATTAAAAAGAGTGATCAGAAAAAACACGCCCTTTGTTTCTGATGCAGTCGCACACTACGGTCATAATATAACTAAGTAAATACAAAAATATCTATAGCACGGTAAGAAGACTTTGTACATATGATTTTCGGAACTACAACAGAAAATACATACCACCACGAACATGTTTTTTTTTTTTTTTTTTTTTACAAAACTATTTTTTTACAGTAATCATGGTTTGGATGATACCTTTTGTGGCAAAGCTATGATATAAATTATATATTTAGTCAATCTTAGACAACGCGTATTCGACAAGTTATGATTGTCTACATTGTTATTTTCAATTAAAGTAATTGAAAAATAACTTTGAACATGTACTACCGAAAATCCTAAAAGTTCCTATTTCAACATAAATTATCTCGTAAAGGCTCTCTTTTTTTCTGTTTCTTTTTTTTGTTGTAAAACTTCCTTGGTATGGTCTATATATATCCAATAAATATCACGTCATATATGGTTTCGACATGGCGACGAGATGTTTTGGTGACGCCACCTCGCGGGCGCCTTCCTGTGACGGAGCCGGTGGGATGCGAGCAGGCGACGCGCTATGTCAAAGCACGGAGTGGCTAGGTTAGTTCGCATCGATGCCGATTAAAAACTGTTTATTTATTAAAGAAACGTGTATGACGTTTCTGTGACTGATGTTTCTAATGAATAACAGAGGCTCAAAGTTGCTTTTTATAATAAAAAAAAAAACAAAAAAAACTTCAGATTGTTCAAAAACAAGCCTGGAGTTTCACATTACAGCTTGCGCGGCGTGCGTCAGGAATATTCACAGCCTCTGATTCTTGTTTCTACCAATCTATGCAGGTTGCTGTAGAAAAAGGTCTTGCATTCACCAAAGTCAATGACGTGCTGTCTTAGCTGTGCACGCGAGCACAGTTGTGGTGCAAAGCACCGCACACTTGTTTTAGCTACATTGAGCTTGCCGATATTGACGCTTCTATCCAAATGTGACTCCAGAGTTGCTGCCGAGCAAACGATCGTCAGAAACTGACGCTTAGCTCCTCCCGAACCGAATACGTGGGAAGGAATACGTGGCAAACAAGGAAAGCAGAAATGTACACAAATTCTTAAATTGTTGTTCATGGCCCGGCAAATTCAGGCGATTGATTAATTTGTTCTATCCATTTTTTTACTAAAAATTATTTACAAATTTTATTGCTCGCTGGGAAGCGCATCACGCATTATGGTTTGCAAAATGAAACATACAAACGGTAGTAATTTATAGCAGGTGTACACCTCATTTTTTGGGACGGTCACCAACGTTTTAAATTTAAGACTTCGACCGGGGGAGGACATCTCGCACGCTTCGCGTCGTTCAAGTGAATAAGCAGGGATGTAATGAAAACAACTCCGGAAGCCACCGCTTTTTTCTGCCAGTTATTTTGAGAAAATGTACTGGTTTATAAAATTCAAGAAGGAATCACCTTGAAAGTAGTAAGATACCAGCAGTCACAAAACACAATGAAACCAACAGCATACACAGAGTCGCTTTCACTGAAGTGCTCGCTACACACGCGAAAGGTTCTCAAATTTCGCTTTCCTAATTTAAATTTGATAGAACATTCCTTTCTCAGTTTTATTTGGACCAAATCATAATTTAAAAAAAAAATAAACACTTTCTTCGTCCTGTTAGGTGATGTAGCGGGGTAAAGCGCTGGGCATTCTATTTTTATCATCCAGATTTTTTTACTGGTGTAGAGAACAGCACACCACCAACCGAGCGCTTCGACAACTAAGCACCAAAATGTTAACCATTTTGTTCTTAGCCCGAGACTGAGGCAGGAAAAGAGGAAAGTTTCGAAGTAGAAGAAAATGAACAGTCGAGGAACTTTCGAAACTTTCCTCTTTTCCTGCCTCAGTCTCGGGCTAAGAACAAAATGGTTAACATCCACCAGCTCGCCTGCGCAATCACTACATTATCACCAAAATGTGTTTGTTTGCACGACTTTGCACGTTTTCAAGATTTAATAAAATGTCATACTACAAACATCACTTCACCAAATAAACACAACGCGTGAAACAGGCACGAAACCAGCTGACGAGCCGAGTGGTCGAAGATCTGCGCGTTCTGTCCCAGTCTGTCCTACCCGTGACGTCACAAACGATGATGATGACAATGATGACAATTGAAGCGCCCCCTGTAGCTCGCGCAGGCCGCCAATAACGCCGCGTGCATTTGAAAAAGACGATTTATATTATACTCTCAGGCTTGTTTTTCTGCCTAATTATAAAATATTTGTACACGCACCTATTTACTCGCTGAGAGCGTGAGTAGCTTGCGGAGAGGCCTGGGCGCCATCAACTGATAAAAAAAAACAAATAACAAACCAAAAATCCAGAATAATTATCATTAAAAAAAACACCCCCTTCGTTTTCGAGGTTGTCAGGAACAATGGTCATAGTATGACGAAGTACATACAAAAATTATGAACACTCTAAATGCATAATTGATAAAAAAAAAAAAAAAAAAACTTTCTACATTCAAGTTTGTCATAGATGATTTCAGAGGCGAAGCATTGGCTGATTTACAACCGATATCTATCCGACGGAATCAAAATATATGGCTCCCAGAATTGTACAAATTGTTGGCACTATAGACAACTATTTCTATAAAATATTTGAGTTTGCAACCATTTGAGTTCTGTCTGTTACGTGCTGTAAACGTTGGTGACAAAACACAGAGTGGGTAATAAAAATGTTGTGAAGAACACAAAACACAGGGACAGACAAGACGCCTAGTCCGTCCCTGTGTTTTGTGTTCTTCCCATTATTTATATTATCCTCACCAGAACGCTCTCCATTTTAAGCAAAACGGGGGTTGTCGCTCTGATGCAGTCTTAACTATTTTCCTCTATTTAAAATTATTTGTGATTTGGTTCCCTTCATACATTGGGTCGTAACATTCAAAACCTTTTTAGCAAAACACATAATGTCAACCGGACAAGCGTGAAGGATCTTATCTAAAGACCCAGTGCGAAGATGGTGTTTCTAAAAATACATCACACAAATAGATAAATCGCGCGTACAATTAGCTTGCAATATTAAACTGCAATAGTGCAGTTGCAATCTTAGCATTGCTGCCCAAATGATAACCCCGCTACCTTGAATGTCTTCTCAAGGGTTCAGCTAAGCTTGAATATTTTGCTTCTTTCTTTTTCTTTCTAGAGTTTTGAGTGGCCTATAAAATGTTTCGTGAAGTGAAGACTGTGGGGACGATCGCCTTGTCTCAGAATGTGACACTGGAAGAGCAGGAGAAAGAAAGGGGGAGAAAGAGAGAGGGAGAGAGGGGGTTGGAGGAGGGATTTTTCGAAACTAAATCGAATAACCTACTATTCGAAACCGTATTTTTCTAAAACAACAGCTCGAGCACAACGAGTAGCCATTGCTCTTTGAGAACGCGATTTGTAATGCACCGAGAATGTGAGGCAGATAAGTGGACGCTTGGACGTTAGAACGGCGAACTCTGATTGGAACGATTAGTGGGTAGACCTAAAGCTAGCTGGCCTTCGTGTCCACTGCTCTTGTCAAGCGCGTTCGAATGCGAGAGCCAAACGCCAGGCGCCGGCCTTTCCGCGTTCTAAC